GATCAAGTGTAGTACTAAATATTTTTGGGTCGGCCTTTTGGCTAACCTTTCTTGGTCTTTTGACTAAGATCAAGTGTAGTACTACTTTCTCGGCCTTTGTACAAAGAGTTTCAGTATTTATTATTATATCCTACGATATAAATTCTATAAAACTCAAAATTAACTAATAAAATTAAAATTCAATTTATAATCAATTGTGTTTAACCAAATGGTCCATAAATTAACCTATTTATCTATTTATTATTATGAATTTTTTAATTAAAAAAAATCTAATTAGACAAGAATTATGAATATAAAAATATTTATTAATTGATATATAAAACAAAATAATTTTTCTAAAACTCTACCATAAATTAGCTTTTATAATGAGTTTCTTAGTAAAATTAAATCTAATCAGACAAGGATATATTTAAAGAAAATAAAATAATTTCTATAAAACTCAATCACAAATTACCTATTTTATTTTCAGTAAAACTACATCACACTAGACAAAGATATATTTAAAGAGTTTCTGTAAAACTCTAACACAAATTACCCATTTATCTATTTATTTTGAGTTTTTTAATAAAAGAAAATCTAATTAGGCAAGCATTGTTAATATAAAAAAATATTTATTAATTGATATAAAAAGAGATTTTAAAAGAGTTTCTATAAAACTCTAACACAAATTACATATTTATCTATTTATTATGAGTTTTTTTAATAAAAATAAATTTAATTAGACAAGAATTATTAAAATAAAAAATCAAACAAAGTGTTTCAGTATTTTAGTATTTATTTATTTATATAAAAAAATATTTATTAATTGATATAAAAATAATTTTTGTATAAATAGTTTCTATAAAACTGTAAAAATTACGTAATAAAATCAATCACATTCTATATAAAACTCTAATTTTTAGTTCAATATAAAAAGAATAGTTATTTTTTATAGATAATTATCACAATATAACCGGCCCGGCCCAGTTATGATTATGTAATTATCAGAAAAGGACACATGTCATCATCCTATTAATCGAAGAAGCCTATAAATAGAGGCATGGAGGACAGAGGAAGGGGTACAAAAATTGAGAATTCTAGAAATCCAGAATTCCATAGTAAAATACAAAAACTCTGCCAAAGAGTTTAAGTATTTATTTATTTATATAAAAAAATATTTATTAATTGATATAATACTATACTAGATGTGCAAAGAGTTTCAGTATTTAAGTACAAATTACCTATTTATCTATTTATTATGAGTTTTTTTAATAAAAGTAAATTTAATTAGACAACAATTATTAAAATCAAAAATATTTATTAATTAAAAATTACCTAATAAAATCATGCAAAGTGTTTTTGTATTTCAGTATTTATTTATTTATATAAAAAAATATTTATTAATTGATATAAAAATAGTTTTTGTAAAAATAATAATTTCTCATACTTTAGTTTCAGAAAATGATTGTTGTAGTGAAAAACAATCAACCAAAATAAGAGACCAAATAGCTGGTAGTCATTTGAGGCATTTATGTAGGACTCATTTGGTGTCCCTCCCTAATGCATTAAATGGCTATCAAATCATTCGGTACGCTTATTGGAATGACTGTGAGTTTGTGACTCTGAAAATAGCATGATTTTTTGTTTTAGTTCTGAAATATAGATAATTCTTGCTACTTCGCAAAAGTCAAGTGAATAAAAAAATAAATAAAAAAACTTTAAGGATTAAAAAAAAAAAAAAAAAAAAAAAAAAAAAAAAAAAAAACTTTGAGGATTTTAACAATGACTACTCATTATAAGATGACATAGAACCCTGCAATATTGATAACAACTTGAGCTCATAATTCATGGTGTTTTATTATTCAACAAGCTCTTAGACATTGATTTGTTTTGCAAATTTAGATATTTGGTAACTTTGAACACCATTAGCAATTGAGTATTGCTTAATTTTTTTTTTTTTTTTTTTGTAACGAATAATCAATTGCCACAGTTCAAGAACTGGAAGTTCAAAATAAGGATGGAAACTCTGCCAAAGAGTTTCAGTATTTCAGTATTTATTTATTTATATAAAAAAATATTTATTAATTGATATAAAAAGAGCTTTTATCTATACTATTATTAGATATACAAATAGTTTTAGTATTTAAGTATTTATTTATTTATATAAAAAAAATATTTAAAACACTAAAATCTACATAATAAAATTTAAATTAATCTATTTATCTATTTATTATTATGAATTTTTTAATAAAAAAAATCTAATTAGACAAGAATTACTAATATAAAAAATATTTATTAATTGATATATAAAATAAAATAATTTTTCTAAAACTCAACCACAAATTAACTTTTATTATTAGATTCTTAATAAAATTAAATCTAATTAGACAAGGATATATTTAAAGAAAATAAAATAATTTCTATAAAATCCCATCACAAATTACTTATTTTATTTTCAATAAAATTCTATCACACTACACAAAGATATATTTAAAGAGTTTCTATAAAACTCTAACATAAATTACTTATTTATCTATTTATTATGAATTTTTTAGTAAAAGGAAATCTAATTAGACAAGTATTATTAATATAAAAAATTATTTTTTAATTGATATAAGAAGAGGTTTTAAAAGAGTTTCTATAAAACTCTAACACAAATTACTTATTTATCTATTTATTATTAATTTTTTTTAATAAAAGTAAATCTAATTAGACAAGAATTATTAAACTAAAAAATATTTATTAATTAAAAATTACCTAATAAAATAATGCAACGTGTTTCAGCATTTCAGTATTTATTTATTTATATATAAAAATATTTATTAATTGATATAAAAATAGTTTTTGTAAAAATAGTTTCTATAAAACTCTAAAAATTACCTAATAAAATCAATCACATTGTATATAAAACTCTTATTTTTAGTTCAATATAAAAAAAAATAGTTATTTTTTATGAATAATTATCATAATATAACCGGCCCGGCCCGATTATGATTATGTAATCCTACTAATCCAAAAGGCCTATAAATAGAGACATGGAGGAAGGAGGAAGAGATATAAAAATTGAAAATTCTAGAAATCTAGAATTTTAGAGTAAAATACAGGAACTCTACCAAAGAATTTTAGTATTTATTTATTTATATAAAAAAATATTTATTAATTGATATAAAAAGAGTTTTTATCTATACTATTATTAAATGTGCAAAGAGTTTCAGTATTTGAGTATTTATTTATTTATATAAAAAATATTTAAAAAAACTAAAATCTAAATAATAAAATTTAAACTAACCTATTTATCTATTTATTATTATGAATTTTTTAATAAAAATAATCTAATTAGACTAGAAAAACTCTACCACAAATTACCTATTTTATTTTCAATAAAATTATAATACATTAGACAAAGATATATTTTAAGATTTTATATAAAAACTCTAATACAAATTACCTATTTATCTATTTATTTTGAGCTTTTTAATAAAAGAAAATCTAATTAGACAAGTATTGTTAATATAAAAAATTATTTATTAATTGATATAAAAAGAGGTTTTAAAAGAGTTTCTATAAAACTCTAATACAAATTACTTATTTATTTATTTATTGAAATCTAATTAGACAAGAATTATTAATATAAAAAAATATTTATTAATTGATATAAAAAGAGTTTTTAAAAGGGTTTCTATAAAATTCTAATACAAATTACCTATTTATCTATTTATTATGAGTTTTTTTAATAAAAAAATATAATTAAACAATAATATATTAAATGAAAATAAAATAATCTTTATAAAATCTACCACAAATTGGCTGTTTTATTTTTTATAAAACTCTATTACATTATCTACAAAATATTCAACACTTGCATCACACGTGCCTTTTCCTAATATATATATATGTTATCAGATCCATCAATGTTTATTAGGATATATCACCTTACGGAGTCCTATAATAAAAAGTAGTTGATTAACATAATTGTGTATGGATCGAATTGAATTGAAACCCTGTTTTATCTCAATAATGTGAAGTATTTGTGCGTGTATGTGTGATATATATATATTCGTGTTTTGAATAATTAAATAACTGGTGACGTCACACTTTTCTTTCTTTGGATTAAGGCATGTAAATGCTTGGAAAGAAAAAGATTCGAAGAAGATTCATTTCACAATGGAAATCCATTGAGAAAGTTAGAATGACAGCTCTAATTTGTTTGAAGGTGGCTAATAAATTGACTATTTGACTTTGAATTTTGTGTGTATATAATTTTTTTTTAAGAAAAAACTAAAAAATAAAACAGAGGGATACTGTTTTTAATATGAGAATATAATTTGGTTAAAAGGATTAAAAATAGCTACTTACAATATTGAACTAACCCATTATATAATATTAATTTAGGCAATTTGGGCCAAACTCCAGCTGAATAAGATTAATTAATGCAAGCATGATACACCCCAAGAGTCTACAATACTGAGGATCAAAGATGTCGGTAAGCACTGTTTGACATTACAATTATGTGTCTTTTTCGTGCTATATCAACAGAGGAAATGCAATATGTAACGATGTAATGTAATTATTGTAGACTCTTGGGTTGTGTCATGTTTGCATTAATTAATCTTATTCAGCTGGAGTTTGGTCCAAATTGCCTAAATTAATATTATATAATGGGTTAGTTCACTATTGAATAAATAAGGTAAAATTATTGAATAAACATATAAAGACAAAGAATGCAACACGGAATAAAAGAGCAGTGGAGAGAGGATTCGGATTATGTCCAAACAAGCCCCAAATGACATACTAAACACTTCCCTACGATTCCCTACGATTCCATAACATCCCAGGAGGGGCAGTAAAGAAACTGAATAAAGTAATAGCCTATTTAGCATCACCATCCACGCCTCCAATTTCAATCCTTTCTTTTATGTTATCAACTCCATTAATTCTCCCTCGTTTTTAATTCCAATTCCATTATACACAACCACATCAATTATAGTAACAATAAGACACAAACATACAGACAAAAAAAATGACAATGAAACTAGAAAGCTTTATATTATTGGCAACAAATGCTGAGAACCACATAAAATTAGTATCCATCCAAACTCAACAAATCAATCTCCACCCCATCTTTACTATTAAAAAAAAAAAAAAAAAATTAAATCAAAAACCATAACCTAAAAAAGAATTCCTACCCAATACCTCTATTTTGTGTGTTTCCCACTCCACCCCACATATACATCAAAATGAATGATATTATATTCGAAAATATCTGCAGTCGCTCCAAAATATCTGCAGTCGAGAGAGTGTAAGGCTGTTGTATGTGAGTGGACTCACATCAAGAATTGGAGTTCGAAAATATCAGCAGTGCAGACATTGTAAGACTATTTTACGTTAGTGGAGTTTAATGTAGTCGTGTAAGACTGTTTTACGTTATGTCACGTACCATCCACTCAGATCAAAACAAGTCAGAGTTGTGCAACCGATTGTGTATTTTGATTATGTAAGACTATTTTATATGAGTGGAATTTAATCATAATGTTAGGTACCATTCATTCACATCAAAACAATTAGAATTGTCCAAACCGTGACTCTATAATACCGAGTATAATATATATATATATTATATATAGGGTGGGATGAGTCAGCACCGAGTCACATGGGCCTTGTAGTGGCCCATGATTTGTCACGAGGTCCACATAAGGGGGATAGGACCAAAAGAATGGAAAGGTCCACACGTGATATAACACCTCAATCTCCGACAAAGTGGTATGGGCCCTGAATGGGTGGGTATTTTGGAAATGTAATGGGTCCAAGCAAAAAAAGGTTAGGAAGAAGTTAGAAGAGCTGACACAACCGCCATATTGCTAACATGATCGCGACCGAACCGGCCATTGCATGAGGACGGAACACGTGCGCGCACGTGGAGGAGGAGGAGGCACCGCTCGTGTCCATCACACCTTCGTACACCATCGTGCTGTTTACCAATGGTTCTGCGTTTGCTGCCGTCGGATTGTTTTGCTGATCTGATGATGATTTCTGACTGCAATCCATTCATAAATAGAGTCGGTGTTAGAAATTAGATCAAATATAATAGTGGAGAAGAAGAAATTCAACTCGAATACTTATATGATATGATATAATTAATTGATAATGAAATATTTCTTTTATCTTTACGTTAATAAAATTCTTTAAAAAGATAAAATAAATTTTAGAATTGGAGATTTTTTTTTATTAGGAGTAGTAGTAAAGTTGAAGGAATTGGACGAATTATATGACACTTTTTTAATGAGTTGAGACCAAATTTTCTTCATGAAAGTGACACTTTAATGAACAAATTCTTTGTAAAAATAAGAACAAGTAACTTTCTACCATGCATTGGTAGAGTCAGTTGTGAAAAATAGGTGCCGTTGGGCTCTATATGCGTCAGTGACACGTCATAATCCCAAATTACTCTATTTGGCATCAAGGAATGGTAAGGAAAAAAGAAAAAAGGTGTTTTTTCTTTGTTGAAATAAAAATTTGTTGAAATAGGTGTGTCAAGAAAAACAAAGTCGGTTACCAAATTAATTAATGATAGATGACCAAGACACTTTTTGTAACGGCTACGGATTTTCCGGGACTTTGTAACTGCTAGATTTTTCTGGTGCCTAATGCGAGAAGAAGACGACACAAAATAGCCACTCTAACGTTCATATTCACAGGCTTTATGAATTTATGCGCGGACCAAACTACCCTCGCAGTTCAAACCAATTATATAAAACATAACGGAAAGATATTTAAGTAAATTTACTTACATCGTGTTGGCTGATGGACAGAACGTTATGAGATAGTCGGCACCCACACAAGTGAAGGTACTCGTCCCGTCATCATACGCATAGCTGTAGGCGCGTGGGCACGCGTTCTTGAACAATTGAGAGTACGACGACGGCTTGCAGGTGGCGGGTGTGTTGTACGCGCCGCTGCAGCAGTACTCCGGTTTCCCAAACGCCTCGCACGCGCTCTTGCAGGCCACCCCCTCCCCGCCCTCGCTCGTCAGCTTGAGCTCCGACGGGCACGCGCTGTTCAGGTCCACCACGCATCCCGTGTTTGTACAGTTGACTCCGGTGCCGCCCTGCGGGACCACCAGCATCGGGAGGTTGTACCCGTCGACCAAGCTCACATCGAAGAAGTCCATTCCATTGTCCCCGTCGAGTGTGAACTCAGCCAGCGTCGCCGGTGGCTCGGCGGTCCCCCCGGCGCATTCCACCTTCCCGGAGCCGCAATCGCCTGTGACGCAGCTGAATTTTCCGGCCGAGTCTTGGGTACAGAGAGTACGACCCCAGAATCGACCCCCCCAATTGGACGGAGCTGTTATGGCCTTGGACTCACCCTTTTGGAGGGAAAAACCAGTGGTGGGGAGTTGTGCAATCCCAGCGTTTGATAAAATGCCTGGCCAAACTGTGTGCTCACACTTGTTTACTATTGTGAATGTTGCTGATGAAATCACTCCTGTAATAATAGATTTCAATAAATTAGACTCTAAATCTGACCACATATTGCGTGTCTGTGTGTTTGTGTGTGTGTAATAATATTACCTGATATGAAGAGTGTGAGTAGAGAAAACAGAAAGCAAAGTTTGGCCATTGAAGATGAATAACAGATTGTGAAGAAGAAGAAGGAGAAGGTGGGAGATGTTTGGACACAGGGACACCCTAGTCCTTCTTCCTCTTGCAGGGAATGGTAACCAGTCCGTGAGATTTCGGGAGGGAGACGACTAGGGGAGGGTGGTGTGTATATATAGACATATAGTATATGTAGAGACAGAGAGGCGGCCTAATGCCTACGTATGTTTTTGTATATATGTGGTGGGCCCACTCAAATTGTTAGTCGGTAAAAGCCGGCGGGCTCTGATTTCTATTACATTCTTACCTTCTTCCTCTGTAATCTAGGTCAGATTATACAGATGGGGGGAGATGAATGTAGTTGCATGTTGCTCAAGCGGGATTCAATTTAAAACGAATGGATGTTGGGGATACTCATTGATTATTTGTAGAGGTTGTCCCACATCTCAAATAAACCAAAGTGGACTGTGTGTGACTTCTGTTTGTAAATTTGACCTAATCCATTCTCCAATTGGTGGTCAAAACATATTTTGTTCCCCGTGGTCAAAAACCTGTGTTGCATTTCGATGCATAATATGAAATTTGTTATTTTAGTGCTATTCTCGTAAGAAAATTTATGTAGAGTCTAAACTTTGACTAATCAAATGAGAGACGTGAACGATGAACTCTGTATTTTAGGATAAACTGTATAGAACTGTGAATAGTTGAATGGGAGAAATATTATAACGATGAACTCATACGTTATGTTTGAAAGTATCGAATCGATATCTTGAATTTAAAATTGAACAATATTATTATTATGTTACATATGACAATACCAAATCAACCCATTTAAATTTGAAATTACATAAAATTTAGGTCTAAAATTTAATTAAATTTTTTCTAATTTTGAATTCGAGTAGTATATTCATACTTTCAAATATAACATTAGTTCAGAATTTGAACTACATTCCTTTCAATTCTGATTCCCAAACATTGATTTGGTATTCCCAAACCCAACATAACTTCCCATTCAAATATTTGGATTTCGGACTTCATATCACTTGGAGGAATCATAAACCTAAAGCCTAGTTTTAGCCATCACATTAGGAAGTTTTTAGCATGACCTAGATAGAAAAGAAAAGAAAATGAAATTTTTAAAGGTTAGGTGGAATCAACTAAAAAAGAAAGAAAAGAGAAAATTTTTAAACTTTTTGGAGTTTGGACAAAAGGAAAAAGAAAAGAAAGAGAAAATTTAGTTTCCCGCATCGATCTATTTGTCCACAAAAATTTTCACACACAAAACACGCGAAAATAGTACTTTCCCGTGAAAGGACTCCATTTTATTTGACTTTCCTATTTTATCCAGCTAACTTGTTTGTATTTGTTGTTGGGTAACTCTCTCTTTTGTGACTTTATGAGTTTTCAACAACTATTTTTATGAAGCAATAATTTTTTTTTTTGTTTCAATAAAATAGGATAGGTGTATCTTTTTTAGTATAATCCACGTATCTAATGCGAAGGTTCAAAAAAAAAAAAAAAATATTAATATTTAGTTGAGCTTTGCTCTCTAATTATGTGTAATCCAACCTTTAAAAATTAGTTTACCTTATTTTATTATAATTTTTTTTTTTTTTATCATCTATTGCACAATATTTATTTTTAAAATTCTAACTGATATAATAGTAATTTTGGTAAGTAGAATTATTTTCTTTTCACTTTCATCATACCCAAATTAATAAAATCATATTTTATCATAACTTTTTTTTTTTTTTTTTTTTTTTTTTGGATAAGTAAATATTTTATTGTAACTTTTTCGAAAGACTTTAATACTAACCAAATTCATGGTAAAATAGATCTTGCTTCCAAATAGAATTTTATATTTTTTTTAATCCTCTGTTCTATGTTGCAATTCTAGCCAGTCATAATCTGGTATATATATATATATATATATATGGTGAAATATTTAATTTTTCTCCCAAACAATAGTATTGCCTCTTTGTCTTTAATTTTTTTTTTTTTAATTTGTTTATCTTAAACTAATAATTAGTTTTACCTAGAAAATATTATGAACCCTTATTCTAAATATAAATAATAAAAATAAATATAAATAATTATATATTTGAATTTAATAATTTATCATTTTACTTCCTAACGGTACTTTTAGTATGCAAAATCACTTTCTTTTCACTTTAATACTATCCAAACTAACAAACTAATATTTTTTTAAAATTTTCTTGAATAAATTTTCATACTAACCAAATGCATACTAGAAAATCTTTTTTCTTTGCATTCACTTCACTTTTCTTTCACTTCCTATTTCTTTTCTTTTCTAACTTATTTCCATCTAACCAAACGGAGCCCTAATTTTTTTCATAAAATTTTCTTTCCAAAAACACAAAAAAAATTTATGAACTTACAATATTGTCCTTTCTTTTATGGTACGTTACAAACTATTCAAAACATAAAATGATAATTTTGCATAATTTTCTTGCAAAATTTTCATGTTAACTAAATTGTTGTTGAAAACTTAATTTTCGTTTAGTTCACTTCACTTTAATTTCTTTTATTTTCACTTTTCATCACTAGTTTCCATGATTATTCCAACTAACCAAACAATCAAATATATTGTGTTTTGTTATAATCCCTTGAGTTATCATTTATATGTAATAATTCCTTTCTTTTTTATTTTTTACTTAATATTAAGTTACAATTTAGACTCGTTTCAAAAAATACTTTTATAATTTTCGGAATTGTTAGTATATATTCTTTGCATATTTTAACCTAATACTAAGAAAAAAATACACATTTTTTAAAAGTATATACGATACATTTTTTTTATTGAAAATACAAAGTACGATGTGAATATTGGTTAAGAAAGGACAAAAATGCAACACTATTATTACCTATCTGGGGCACCCTTCTAGGCTTAAAATATATAATCATGTTTTTGTCATTCTGTTCTTTTTCAGCTTATTTAACACACTTAACTTATTTTTCTTTACAATCTCAACGTTTTGTAATTTTCATGGCAATACATTTAACATGGATCACATAATCTTTCTAACTGGTGCAGTTATTGATTTTTGTTGAATTTGATCAAATCATTGCAGTCAATTTTCTTTCTTTTTTGTTTGTGATGGGGTACAAAGTATTTTTTAGTTTTATCCTTTTACGTTTGTTTGGATGTGAATTTTTTTTTTTTTTTTAGTATTTGGTTATCGTAAAATATTTATAAAGAAAAAATATATTAAAATTTAATAAAAATAATTTGCGTATTAATTTTTTATAAGTTATTTATATGTCCAGCAATAAACTCATCCTTAATCTCGACCTAAATTTTAACAAACTCTAAAAAAAAGTAAAAATAAAAAATATATATTTTAAGAAAAATATTTTTCGAAAAAACTATTTTACTGTTTCTATTTTTTAGCAATGGAAGTTTTCTTGATTGCCTTTACTTGAAAGTCTAAATAATCCAAGACGCGGTAGCAAGAGTGGATTGTCAGGCCGCCTTGGCTTTGTCAAGCCATGGAGACTCACCTCTGTTTTGTTTCTTAGTCCTCTGTTTTATTGGGTAAAAAATCTATCTAATAAAAATCTATAAAAAATAAATACCACATTTATCTGTAAACAAATCTCAATCAGAAAATAATTTTCAAAGTGAATAATCTATCCTATTAGTATGACCGAATCACTTTTTATTATTAGACGATAATAATTAATTAGGTTAGACAAATAGATCTAAATACCATCATTTATATTAACAATATTATAGACAACAGTGGTGTAAAGATTTGTACTATATTTTGCTATTCATTTTACGTGAAAAAAGAAAAGAAAAAATGCAATAAGATTCAACACCAATGCAACAACATTCAACTAATTACATCAAAATACAAACGGTACAACATTACATCAATAATGTCGTCGATGCATTCTCGATGTAATTGTGGGACTTTACATTTGGTTTGGTTCAGATTTAAATTTTATTAACGTCTGCTTGTAAGAAAATTTTGTTGTTCAATTTTGAATTGGCCATCAATTGGGTTGGAAAGTTTCAAATTAATCATACAAATCAGTCTTACCAAACTATAATTTTCTTCCAATTATCATATGATATTTTTTCACTAAAATCTCCATAGGAATGAAATTGTCCAACCAGAAGAAGCAAATAAATAAATATCTTCCTCTATCAGTCACTATTGCGTGCCCAAGCTGGTTTCCTCCCCGTTGAGCATTTACAAGTTATTCACACAGAGCAATGGCGGCTTATCGGAAAAGTCTTGTTTGGCTACTTTTTTTTTGGTTTAAAAATTAAGACTCTTTTAATTTACAATATTGAGAGATGTCACTTTCGTAATGAAAAAGAAAAATAGGTTTTATTTGTTTTTGACTGTTGTGTCTTGATGGTCATTTTTCTGGTATGACATCTCAAATTGTCAACAAAGTAGCCAAGAGAGACAGTTTGAGTTTGGCTTCGACTGTTGATCTACCTATGATGATTGACTGTGGTAACAACCCTCAAGAACTTAGATTTTTCACTCCCATGAAAGATTGTTCGTCACCAGAAAGCAACTGCATAGCCAATAAGCACAATGATTAATAACAGAACTTGAAAGAGAAGCAATTGAAAATTTCGACTAGTAATGTCAGTTGTTTAATTAGAATGAATCCTCTCCTGTACAAGGCAGTACAACCACCGTGTGTTTAAATCATATATTGTACTACAAATGTGCTGTACAACAACGTCCTACCTCTTTTTGTTTAATTGGATAGAAAAAAGAGTTTTAATTACAAGGAATAGTATTGTAATTTAAATTTTCATGTTAACAACCTTTCTTCCTCTCTTTCATCCTTAGTTGAAGGGAAGAAAATTGGAGCTCTCATCCATTCTCTTTTCATTTTCCTTCATATTTCCTCTTTACGAGACACAGAAAGTTTATTCCTTCCTTTCTATCTTTCCTTCCTCTTCCTCTTCTTCTTCCTACCAAACGGACCATTAGATTCAAGCATTTTGTCAAAACCAAACGTGGGAATGCAATGAAATCATGAGTATGGTAAGACATGGAGATGGGATGAAATCATGAATAGCAATAATTATTTCATACCTCTGTCGATTATTGCTTGCCAAACAAGGGATAAGTGAGTGATCAAAGGAGGAGGAATTCAGCGGAAGACGGCCCACCTTAGCGTCATTCAATGCATCTGGTGAGATTACCTTATCCCTTTGTCCCCCAACACAAACCCCATCGTCTCAGGTGGGGTCAACATATATCACTGAGAGCTAATATATCATACAACAAATTTTTTTTTTTTTTTGATGAGGAAACATTTAAGTCCTATTTTTTTATTTATTTTTTTTCCCAACCATTTAAGTCCTATTAACGGACCACCAAAACACCACTTGATTCGTTATATGAACACCAGCCCCCTTTGACATTGAATCAGTCATAAGGTGTGCCTGTGTAGAATTAAGGGCACTAAAACCCTCATTATCAAATAAATTAAATTCTCAAACCAAACACTCTTGGGGGCCACCGGAAGATATTTAAAAGATTTTGTCAAAAAAGAATGCTGCCTTTTTATCAATAGAAAAAGATAGCAAACAGCTGGCCTTAAAAATAATTGGAAAATGACATACCACAAATTCACAATACTTCTGGCAATATTTTGGTTACTGCAGGTTGCAGCGTGTGAACTCGCCGCCTCGTGCCTAAAATTTATGTTGATGACATTCAAATTTATGTTGATGACATTCATCGGTTAGGATTCTCAGTTACACCATAAAAAGTCTGAGAATCAGTATCCAAAATCCCGTAAAATTTAATGTTATTCTTAAACTTTTAAAAAAATTATAATTGAAAAATGAAAATATTTCCTCCATATGAGGACATTGAGGTTTCAAATTTACTTTTTCAACCTCATATTACTATTTTATCATTTCATTTGGACAAATTACACATGAATAGATCATTTGACCTTTATTATTTTGATTTCCCTAAAAGTGTGAAATATCTTTCATACCTTTACCTAATTTAATAAAAAATATATGTCAAACAAAAAAACTCTATTACCCTTTTTTTTTCCCCTTGTAAACACTATATATTACCCTACCTTTTTTAAAAATAAATAAAAATAAAAATAAAAAACCTAATCAAGCCATAAAAAGAAATCTAATCAAATGCCTTAACAAAAATATATATATTATTTTTCTAAAATATAATAATATGAAATTGGTATGAAAATTGATACTTTTCATTTCAATGGCATTTCATGTCAAAATATACGATTATTGAGGTCTTTTAACACAAGGAAATCGCAACTTAGTCATTAATGGCAAGGGGTGGTGTTGAGCGCATGCACCAAATCTCAAATCTCAAATCTCAAATCTCAAGGGAGGTTAAAGTAAAAAAGATCAAATGTTCTACCTATGTGTAATTTGCCCGAGAGGAAGTCAGTGTAATTTGCCCGAGAGGAAGTCAGTGTAATTTATCTTGGTTAGATTAAAAAAAGGTGACAACATTTTTTTTTTTTTTTTTTTCACCTACAATAAATTTAGCTCATTTTTAAATAGACATAGATGAGAGAACTTGAATCCAGATAAATTTTGATTTTTTTATTTTTGTGTGTGTACTCATAAGTAATTTAATGTTATGAACCTACGCTACAACATATCGTCAATCAAAAGCCAATGGAAATTCTTCCAAGAGAAAGTTGGTTTTGCATTTAATTAAATCAGGAAAAATAAAAAGATTCTGGTTATGAGTCATGTTTTTTTTTTATTTTTTTTATGAGTCATGTTTCCACCGTTATTGTTGAAACTAACAGATGAAAATTCAAAAATGAATTCCAAAGTTCAATAAAAAGGAAAGGATCGAATCACAGCTGAGTTTGAAGGTGACTCGGGAGAGTGAAGTCAAAATGTGAAAATCACATTTAGCTTTTAAAAAACGACGGCATTTACTGAAGTTTTTTAGTTAGGCCAGAACTTTGTTGATTTGGTTCACATTATAAGAACTTCAATCATTCAGGAGCTTTTGTCAGTTACCAAAATCAATCAGTACAAAAAACATCAACTCATAACAACGCACCTGAAACTGATGCCATCCTTCATTTTTATACTCTTCCTTTTCCGGAAAATGACGAGTTCTGAAGCAATGTTCATGTGAATGCCTCCAATTCTCAATCACATCAGATGATGCGTAAAGGAAGCCAACCTGGAAAAATAAACATTATCACGGAGCTAGAGAGATTGAATTTTTTCTTCAAGCAGTCTTGTAGTTTACAATTAGGACAACTATGTTGTTATCCTGATGACATCAATGGCCCGTAATCTATGACCTTCCATGCCTTCATGACCTACAAAGGTCATAGGTAACTACAAATCCCTGTGAATAATCAGATTGAATAGCATGAATCTATAAATGAGAGATTAAAAATGATTTGAGTTCAAGAACTACCTAGGTTGCACACGGGAACTAGATAGGTTGCCCACACAATGCGCGTGATCTGTGTGCGCTTCTTTCGGAATGTTAAATGAGTACAAACCTCATACTGGGAAGATCGTGTATCCGTACCATTGGTCCATTCAGCGAGTATAATTCAGCTTCGCATTCCATATCATATTTCTGTTATCATAATAAGTCTCATAAATTTGGATATTTGATTTTGCAACATTCAGCATGTATATTAATCAACCTAATTTTGTTAAAAAATTAAATTGCAGTTCGATTACCTGAGTCTGAACCAGCTGGGCGTCGCCTAGAGTTTACAGCTTCTTTAGGCAAGCAAAAATCATTTTATCCTCGATGAGCAGCTGGTTGGGTATTTGGGCTATAGAACCGGTCATGCATCAGACTTTTGCCCACCACAAGCAGTTCAGATGGTCATACTCCTACATCACCTGGTCAGGAGCATACTAACATGCATTGTCAGATTTACATTTCTTCAAACATCAGAAAAGCCTTTACATACATATCAATTAAAAACACATTCTGTAATTATTATTTTTTTTATCTTGTACTGTACTAGCTAAGCTAGCTAAATAAAGAGGAATAAGGAAAAAGAAGGAAAGAAAAAACAGCATAAACAAGCTACGGTTTACAACATCCTCAAATATTCAAGGGAAAAACCCTTACTTGCACTAATTGAAACATCAAGTCAAATGCCATCTTACTACCATAATACCATTACAAGAAACTTGTTTCGTGAACTTTTTTTTACCTGAATTTTGTTTCGCAAACTTGATAGACTGAATGTCACGATCACAAAGATGAACTCATTTACAACAATGAATAACTCAAATAACTTGAAAGAAGCAACTTTAAAGCATCGACATCTCTCTTGTTAACTTGGTTGGAAACTCTGCAAAAGCATCATAGACAGCTCAAAGCTCCAACCCGAAAAAATATACCAGTTAAGGTGGTGACTTAGTCATTTAAAACAAATTCTATAAAGGGGCAGCTCTGATAAGAGTATTAGAATATGGGGGAGGAAAAATGGACAAGGCACTAAAAGAACCGGAAAATGAATACTGATTTGAAGGTTGCCACATAACCAAGGACAATGCGAGCTAAGGTACAACATTTCCCCCAATTAGCCTGAATTCTATTTGATGGTACAAGATAATAATTAATCAAAATAATAAAGCTATTCAGTTGGCATCCTCTTTGAAATGGACCAAAGGAAGTGGACAAGAGCCCTGTTGGCACCTGCTATGCTGCATCGACTTGCCCTTCATTTTCCTCGCCAAGAGACCCTGCCCTCCTACATTTTCCCCCAATCAGCCTGAATTCCTTTTCTCTGAAGATTTGTAAATTGTGTCTAGTGGTACAAAATAATAATAAATCTATTCAGTTGGCATGCTCTTTGCAATAGCCTGAAGGAAACGGGTCAGAGCCCTTTCAGCACCCTCTAGTGCTGCATCTACTTGCCCTTCATTTTCCTCACAAGTGACCCTGTGCTCTTGCGTAGAGTGTACCTTCCGGACAAGTTTGCGTAATTCCTGTCAAACGGATTCTAAAGTATCAAGAGGTGACATTGCGGACTTCATTATAAATCAGTTGCACAATTTATAATTCACAGTTAAAATGTTTTAATGGGTCAGGCAAGCTAATGTACTGTGGCTGAACTCTGAAGTCATCAAATGTAAATATGATAGGATTTAACACATCAGACTGGTTGAACTACTTCAATATTCACATAGCATCAATTCTATAGTAGAATAGAAAATCGATAAACAATCTTTAAATAGTTCTCCATGCTTAAATTTGCTTATTCAATTTTAAATTCAGTGCCCAAAATTCTATACTACGACCAACAAACAATAAGCTGGAAGAATGGGTTCATTCAACTAATAAAGGATCCAGTTCTTCACCAAAAAAAGATTGGTTAGAGAAACAAAAATAAATCTCATACAATAATACAGCAATAGTTTTTATCAGTCAAAGTGTATAACTCTATATATCTCAAAGAGAATGATGTCATAAAATAATCAGCACATTCATTTACAACATATTCAGAACATTAGAATATGAAACATATCAATTCAGTATTCACAGAAGCCAGTAGTAACACTCTTTTAGAATTCAAGAGCAAACAATTCCAAGTAGTGAGAAAAGCATAGAAAACAGAAGATGTTAATGGCTAAAAATACAGTGACATGTCTTTAAGCAAAACATACTAAATAGAGCAGCTCCTTGAAGGCAACAGCTGCCAAAAGCAAAACACACAGGTTATAGCTGCATATTGTACATTAATAAGGCACAAGGCCCAAGCCTGAGCCTAGATTTAGATATCCAAACTCATATTAATAGGAAACATTTAAGACTGGGTCTTGACAAACACCACACAGTCCTTCAAAGAGTACAAGGTGCAAGCCTGAACAAAGTAAGCTACAAGAGATAACTTAAGGTGCAAGCCTGAGCAAAGTAAAGGTGCACGTTGACAGAAATGTATAATAACTATAATGCAGATGAAATATTTCACAAGGTGCCTCACAAACTAATCAAAGTTCTATGAAAGAGAAATTATTTTGGCATATCGAAAGAGGGTTGCCTAAACCAATGTACACATATCTTTCATTTTGTGCATTCAACTCAATCATATATACCAGACAAATATGCAATAATAAAAGGCTACAATCATAGAAATTTTAAATATATATTATCAAAATATTCTGATGAGGCCTCAACAATAAGCTAATGATCTTTAGATGAAGACATCAAATACGTATTTATTTAATGATTTATGCAGTATTACACATAGGACTTAAATAGGGAAAACCCTATTGGGTTTTATTTCAAAAGAACAATCTCGTCTCAAACTCAACTAGGAATTCATTGATCTTGGTAACTAACCATTCGCAACTTTAATTTTTTTTTATTTTACCATTTAATTACTCGTAATCACATCTTGGTAACTAACTATTCATAACTTGATAACTTAAAGCAGAATCTTCAACAATTACTATGTGTATCGGGTTTATACCATAGTAGGAAGTCACATCTAGGGCTGCAATGGTGCAATGATGGCCTGAGCTATCCGTGTTAAATCCAAGAAGGTTACGTCAGATCCTCCATTTGGAATGAGGTTGCACTCAAGCTCTAATCTCAACCCTAAAATTCAGTAATCAAGGGCTGGCTTGGCTCAGCCTGAAGCTCAAACGCCCACAATCACACAATCTTGCATCATACAAGGCCTAATTTATGAGTAGTAATGGTGCAGACTTGTAGTCTTCTGAGGAAGCACAAGTTCACAAGCATTTATTAATAGCCAAGAAGATGGTACACATCTTAACCAGACACGGATTATGTAAGGAAGATTGACAGCACTACTAGCTGGAAACTTCATTAGTTGGTGAAGTTTCTTATTGTACAACGTAAACTAACCTCACTCACTGGTCTGCACATATGTCTGTAAGCAAAACGAGAAGTATGTGCAAGCGCGCGTGTGAGAGAGAGAGAGAGAGAAAGAGAGAGAGAGCTTTCAGCACTTAAATGACTATATTACATAAACTTTGTACATGTATTGGATGAAGTTGTGTTTAAACTACTATATGGGATCAACCTCAAATGTGTCAAAAAGTTAGGTAGTTGTATGTCAATACTCCTTACATATTCTATTCATGTATATTATGTCTTATATAACATCAGAAATTTCTAATGTTTGATGTCACTATAATATAAGATTATGGTTTAATAGAAGTTGATTTAATTGGGATTTACTTTAAAAAGTGGGGTTTGTCTCTATCTGTGTGAGCAATTGGAAAGCTTTCCCTGCTGTAAAAATCTGAGCTTCTTCTTCCTCTTTTTTCATCATTACATGTAAAGGATCGGGATCATTATTTCGGTGCATGTGTCAAAATATATCCCATACCTCAAACCCATTCCATGTCATGTCGACATGAGTACCTTGATGGAACAAGAGAATTCGAGTAAACAGGTTTAAGTTACAAGATCAAACATTTACAATTAACAATCATCATTTAAGAGCATAAGAAATATAACATTAAACGAAAGCAAAATATGATGTATATTCTCTTGTCCTTTTTCCAGAGACACATCATGAATCAATATAAATATAGGACACACATGTAGACTTTCTTTTTCTTTTCTTTTTTTCGAAAGTTCAAGCTCCCTCTTAAGGAGGAGAGCTTATATCATCTAGGCTAGTGCCCATTGATCATGTACACACTTTCACACACAGTACATATTTATGTAATAATATATGATATTGCAGTCAAATTTGTAAATCAGCAAGAAATGCAGGCAACTTACCTGACGGTCAAACTCAACACTGTGAAGTGAATAAATCTCTTTTGTGATATCGATATCCTTAGCAATTAGGCCATCAAACCATCTGGTTGCTGTATCAACGTAATTATTGGACCCCTGTAAAGAATGCCCAAGAGAAGGCAGATGTCACATGAACTTCCCAGAGTTCTCAAAATGTAATTTAAACGGGAAGAAAATAATTGATTACTTGTTTTTTACAGATCAATATTGGAAGTTTTTTAAAGGTTTCTGGTTAGGTAATTGAATGAGGTTAGAATACTATTGACCATTTTTTCCCAATTTTGAACTTGCCAGAGATTAACATTTTTTAAACTCTTAAAATATAGATAGTTCACATTTCTTAAAACTTTTTGTAGAAATTCAAAAGGACGACCCATCTTGCTGTATGGAAAGAAAAGATGAGAATAGTTAAATTATCAGTAAAAAGATAATATATTGATATAAGCTCATAAAAGCAAGCCTACTAGTTTCTCGAGCCGGATTATATAATAAATTAGTAAACTGATGAATATCTAGCATATCAAACACATTTCCGTGTACATATCAATACAAAACAGACTTTCTTATCTAATGATGAAGGATAATAATCCGAGAAAAATAGAAAATTAATGATATCCAGACTCCCAGTTTCACAAAACAATGGAACTAAGCTTCTTAAAAAAAAGAAATATTATCTGTAATGACCCGGATTTTTCGGATAAATTTTTTTTCCGTTGTCTTTTCCCTTCTGAGTTTGGTTTCTTGTCGATTAGTGTCGTCTCGTGTGCTCAGGAGTGATTTCCGAGACTCTTTTCTTTAGATTGACAACTTTCTTTGAGGACTGAGTCATTTCTACATTTTTCGTTTTTCGACACTATTAACTTTTCGTCTTTTCCTCGTTTGGCACTTTGTTTGCGTAACCACACTTCTTGTGTTCGGAGTTGGTTTCTGACTTCGCGTATCTTCATTCTCAATGATTTCTATGAGATACGTATCTTTACTTTCGTGAGAAAGTACTCTGGTTACTCCCGGTGTCCATAGGGGCATAAATGCAAAGTTCTTTGGAAACTTTTTCTTTTCTTTGGGTGTTTTTCATTAATATCTTTTGAAGATATTTTATTTCAGAGATATCTAAGAAAATATCTTTTGGAAGATATTTTCATTCTGGGGCAGTTTCGCAGTTTTCACTTTTTGGAGGGGCCATTGTACAATTAATGAAAGTTATTGCTGAATGCCTTGTTTTGAGCCTGGATCCTCGTATGGGATTCATTTTCACATTTCGTCGAGTCGTAGACTCTTAGAATTTCCTCCTGGACGATGTTTTACAGTTTCAAGGTTTCTGACCCCGGTTTGCGCTAAACTTGTTTTGGGCATAACTCTCTACTCGGGACTCGGTTTTCGACTCCGTTTCTTCCGTTATTCATATTTTCTCATTTGGAATCTTTTTCATTCACGGAGTTTTGCCATTTGAGCGCGTCTGCGTGAATTTCACTTTTCCGGACCAGCAAGGCCCGTTCGGGGCTCTTTTTGAGTTTTTCCATAAATAGGAGGTCTTAGAAAGAAAAATCAGATTTTTCTCTCTCTCTCCTCTCTCATGGCCGGTCCAAGCTCCATCCATGGCTACCATCTTCTCTCTCCTCTTTTGGACCTCTTCCCTTCATTAAAAAGTGGTGATGCCTTTGTGTTTATTGTTCCCCTCGGCGAGGCCTTCGATTCCAACCGATTAGAATCTCGTTTTAGCCATTTCTTGAGTTCGGGTTTGAAGTCAAGTTGTGTTTTTGATGGGGCTTCCTTGGGATTCATATTCGTGGTGTTGTCCCCGACAAAACCTAGGAGTTTCGTCGGATTCGGAGCCGATTTATTTTGGTGGGGATTTGAGATTTCATCTCAAATCGAGGTAGGGAATGTTTTAAGATTTTATATGTGTTGTATTGTGTGTTTTCCATGTTTATACAACCTATATGCATGCCTTGTATCAAATCTAGGAAATTTGAAATATTTAATTCTTTGTATGAGATTTAATTTTCATTATGATGAGAAACTTGGTTTTGAATTGTGGCATGGTAGAAACTCTTGTTTTAATATGTTGGTTAACATATATTAATTTGGGGTTAATTAAATAAGAATTGCTCTTTTTAATTAATATTTATCTTTTGTGAAAGATTAAAGTTCATGACCGTACCTTGCATGAAATTGAGTTGTATTATGCTTCTAAATTAAGTTTTGGCATATTTGTTAACATACTTTAATTTGAGAGCATTTGGTTGAGTTTGAAAATTTAGAGACTTTAATTAAGAAAATTAATTAAAATCTAATTTTATGGTTTCATGGGCCTAATTAAGCTTTTGTGTGAATATATGTAATGACCATGATATGTCTATTAACATATATTAAATTGGGGCCAATTAGAAATGATTTGAAATCTAGAGAGTTTAATTATTTTGATGTAATTAAATTCTATCTTGTGTATCCATGGATCTAATCATGTTTTAGAAGTTGTTTCTATTTTAAGAGTATGGATTTAGACTTGTGATGTATTCACTAGATTGTGTTATATACATTGAAGAGCATTGTTGTTAAGTTTATATTCATGAGAGTATGTTTCTAATATGAATATATTATTGGCTTGTGATTTCGTAGCATTATGGATATGAAATGCTTATTATGCACAATTGAGAGTTATATTGCTAACTTGTTACTATGTAATAGTAATATATATAAGTTATGAACTTATTTGGCTTATTTTGGAATCTTGGAACATTGTTGAGTTGAGATGGCTAGGGTTTGGCTCTAGTACGGGGACGTGAGTCCTCTAAGTCATTGAGATAGTGCGCACTTAGGGTGGTCTTCCCTGCGGGTTAGTACCCAGAATAACCATTGAGGTCTCGGCAGAATTCCGAGCGTGATGTCCAAGTATTCCACTGTTTGTTTTCGCATTCAATTCCAAGTTGACAATCATGTTTACCTTGTTGACTTGTGGTTTTGGCTATTGGCGATTTTGATGTTGTTAAGTACATCCATACTAAATTGATATATTTAGTTGATTTTACACTTTTAGATTTCTAGTTGATAACCTAAAGAATCTATGTCTTGATGTGTGGTATTAGATATTCTAATTATGCTAAATTGTTATATTTAGTTGATGTTGCATTTTAGACTTCAAGTTGATAACCTTGAGAATCTATATGTTGTTGCTTTGTGTAAGCATGCTCCTATGTTGTTGCTTTGTGTAAACATGAACCTATGTTGCTAAAATTGCATGAATGAGGTGATTGATGCTAGAAATGATCTTAGATAGCTAGGATGCTCCTTGAGTCTCACCTTTAACATAGACGTTAGGTGGAATGAACCACAATGACTAAATCATGCAACTTGTAAAACGTAGGTCGATGCATGCTCATTTCCTACGAGTAGCTTTATGTTACTCACCCCTACGATACCGGGGCATATTTCAGGTACAAGAATTAAAGTTGAGGCCTTCATTTTGCTTGGATGGTTTGTGGACTTAGAGACTTCCATTTTTGTGAAGATTGGCTTGGAATGCCAATTGTAGTCTTATATGTCGACATGTGTACATTTGATTCCTTATATGTAATGTGTACATGAGTACACTCTTTACGATGTATTTGACATGTATGAGATGAGGCCGGAGGCCAATGACATGTAATTTGTATCTTATGTAAATTTTGACTTTATAGAATGTTATGAAAGTATTAAAAAATATTGAGTTTTTACTTCACCATGTTTGCATTGGGTGTGGGAATTCCATTTTGATTCTTCCATTAGCATTCATTCACCATGTATGAAGTGTGGCCAAGGGCCAAACGGCATTTTGAAACCATCTCATGATTGTAAATTCCAAGTTTTCGTTTCAAACTTCATTTTTGGCATTTTGGCCGTTAGGGAGTCATATTTTGCATCGGCCATATTTTTGGGCCATGGACCATTGTAGCACATCTTACTAGGTAAGTTACGTTTGTGTGCATGGTCATTTCCGGACAAAGCTTCTTCTTAGGTGAAATGAGCCTCTTACGGACTCATTTTATACTTTTGTTGCATTTTCTGACCTAAGGGTATTTTGGGAATTTCCTTTGGGAAATAAATTTCATTCTTCACATGGTTGAATAGAAAATATGATTTTAGGGGGGGTTTTTTTTTCGTGTTTTTCCAGAAAATGCCATCTTGGCATCGTATCGCATCCGAAATTCAGCTCTTAGTTTTTAAATTTAGCAGCTTTTTGGACTCTCTGGACCAATTTTCTTGGGAGGGCATTTTGGGCATTTCACATTGCGTATTTTTTTATTTTCCTCCCTAGTCACGTAGAAAACTCGATTTTGAGGGGGGTTTCTTCTTTGAGTTTTTCCAAAAAATGTCATCTTGGCCCTCAAATTTCCATTTTTTCCGGAAAAACCCCTGCTGCCAGGTTTTCCTTGCTGAGTATTCTGCCCTCTTCACATGTAAACGGTTACGAGGAGTTTGGTAACCGGTTACATGTGCATGGGCAGTATTTTGGTCGAATTTTTTGGCCTCTTAACCGGTTAGGAAGGTCTCCTAACCGGTTAGATGTTCTTGGTTGTCACTTTTTTGACCGTTTTGCCCCTTCTTCTTCCGTTAGCCATATCTTCTTCATCCGGACTCCAAATCAAGCGATTCTTGAGTCTAAATTCATTAATTTTTCGTTGTCTTTCCAATGGTGTGCTCAGTGGCACCCACTTTTAAGCTACAAATGACGATTTTTCCCCTAGGTTCATTCTTGTTCGTTTTTGAAACGTTGCTTCCCCATTTGATTCCTTTGGGTTCCGTGACCTCGTTGAGGGTCATAATGGTGTCTTAGAGCCATGTTGTATCTCTAGAGACCGTTGTTTTGTCTTTTGCTTCCTCACTTCGGATCCGTTATCAGGTCATCTTTCGGTTCATCACTGACGCACCGGGTTGAAAAACTTGGGCCGTCACATTATCACACTAATGAGTACTACTTATATAAAAGGGGGTCGGCAGAATATGTTTGTTCTAAAAGCAAAGTACTTTAGAACTTTAAGGGAGGTCAATGACATTAATAGAAACCTTATGTTCTTTTATTGCTAAGTTGATTAGAGGGCTGAAGTTTGAAAAATGAAGTTAGAACCGGCATCCCACCAACAATATACATAAAACTGAAACACCAATATGTAGCGATGAGCTATCGATCCATGTGTCATGCAAGCTTCAATTTTAAAGCACAGTTATAGACAAGAATCGATAGTATACCTCCTCTTCCTCTTCATATTCAGTTTCAAGTGCCTCATCATTATCATCTTTAATGGCATGAGTTTCTGTACCAGATAAAGCTTGCAGCCTACTCTGGTCACCATCTCTTGTGGCCTGAATTAAAGAATCCATCAATTCGGGTTGCACTCCCCTTAGCAGTCTTCCTAGCACGCAGTTAGATTGCCAAATAAGAACATATGCATTAAAATGTCGATTATATAACTAGTCATATAAAACTCAGCATGAAGAATCTCAAGATACACTTCTAGATACTGGCCCAGTACAAAGTTTCCAGTTTATTGGGTTAAATAACACCCAAAATATGTATAAAATAAATATTTGAAAATAGGATGTTTGAAGGATGGTTCAAACGTGTTTGTCCAAAAGGGAAAGGAACGCTTAGCTATGCTACCAAATGAATTAAACAAGCTTTACCAGTTGAGTTATCACGCTTCTTCTGTCCATATTTTGGATTTACTAATCAAATTTTCCAAATTACAACAACAATTAATACAATATTGTCAACTGTTTTGAGTTTCAAAGTTTCAGTATGCCACTAATAATTTGAGCTATTGGCACATGTGATATACAAAAGCAGAAAAAGTCATGAAAGAAAGCAAACCGAGAATATATATATATATATATATATATATATATATATATTGAGCATGTACATTCAGGAGATCTACACTGACTCTACATGTGAAGCAGAACAATCATTTATAAATGTAACAGCAACCAAAAACTGAAATGTTCTATTTTGCGGCACTTGACATGCACATTTCTACCGGACTAAAATAAGATAAGCCTTTTAATTCTAAATTCGACAAGTATTAACTGTATAAACTTGCCTAGTAGTATTTGATTCTGCAAAAGAATGTTCTTTTACTATTTTTAATTTACATACCTATATAATTGTACTGTCTCCGCTTTCCTTCTCGGACATCACGACCGAATGTCTGAGACAAACAAACAAACACCTTGACATCAAAGAACAACATCAACCAAAACTAAAAGAACGCAAAAATCACATTACGCATAATTACAACCTTCACTAGCACCAGTGCATCGAACAAGTCTTCCTCAAGCGAAGCCACCCTAAAAATATATATATATATTTCATCAAACAGTGTTTATAGTGATTGTTTGTAGAAGATTGGTTGGGGAATTACTCGATAATTCGTTTGATTTGAGAGTTAGAGAAGGAAGCGAGTTCCATTGCCCATCGGACGGCTCGGCGAGCCTCACGCTTCTTCTCGTTCCGGCTCTTCTTGGCATTTGAATCTGAATCGGAATCGGAGTCTCGGAGATCGGACGGTGGCGGAGCGTTGGGCACCCTGAGACCACCGCGTGATCGGAAATGGAGGTTCCGGCTATAGGAAGGTGTTGTGGTGATGAAGGATGGAGGTTGTGAGTGGAGGAGGTGGTGGAATGTTGAGCTAGAACGATACTGATGCAACCATCTCGGCCACTGCATTAGAGGCTTCACCAAATGAGCCATCCTCTCGCCCTCTCTCTATCTCCGAACTTGAATGACACTCATTCGGTTATTAACCTGGTGTTTCTTATGAAAAGGAGCTGGAACAGGCCCATATGGCCCATCATTGTGAGGCCCAATGCTGGTAGGTATTTTGACTATTTCTTCTATATGAAAAATTATAATTAATTGCCGACACAGTAAGGGATGGCAATTTGCACCATCCCGCCTATAATGGGAATTGTTTCTGTACCGTAGCGGTAAGTATGAGATAAAATATGCCCCACCCCACCCCACCCCTCATACTTTAATTTATTTATATATATATATATATATATATATATATATATATACATGTATACATGTAAACGGAGTTGGTATGGATTGTGACTTTGCTCATGTACGATTTAAGCACACTTGTATCATACTTACTCCGTTGTCATCCCAAATCGTATAGGAGCGAGAAAAGGGTCCAAAAAAAAAAAACACATAAGAGTAGAACCCACCACAATGGTGAGTAGGGGTGCACAAAAATCCATCATGATATCCAAACCGGACCGGACAGTTTGTTTTGGTTTGTTAATGATTTTGTTCAGTCACAGTTCTAAATTTGTGAAACCGTAAAGATACGATTTGGTGACTGTTTGAGATTCTTTGCTGAAGACAAATCTTCAGCTTGTCTCTGCTCTTGGTGGATCTTGGTCTAGATATGGAAGGGATGCCAAGTGAGATGCTACCAGGTACGCCTCTATCTATGATGCTGGCTCTGGTGCAAAGCCTGCTCCTACTCGATCTTACTCGTACGTTTCTTGCTCTTACCAACTCTCACGAGGATAACTACAGTCTTAAAGGCTTTAGAGACGAGGCATTAAAGGACAACTTGTTAAAGGCAACAGCGGTAGGGAGTTCGACTCTACTGTCAGCCATTGCATTCAGACAACACTTGATTAGTCTTTTTCTAGCGTGATTTCGATGCATGGTTAGGAAAAGTCAGCTAAAATATGGTATATCTTCATATAAGACTCTTCCTTTAAGGCGGGCTCCAGTGCTTATCGTAAGGTTGCCTCCACATATGAAAAGTAAACCTGCAGTATTAGCTAATTGACTCGCCTTAACAGCGCCTCTCACCTACACCTAATGGCTAGGCAGTCAAGGGAAGAAAACTAAACCGTTATGTTATATGTGTGTGTGTGTGTGTTAAATTATACAGTGTATATAATATAATATAATTTTACAATTCAAATCACTTCGAAGTTTGTAACAACTATCTATCATATGGTCCACCCTTAATTTTCTTAGGTCTTATCAATTTATTAGATAATTTTTTTCTTTCTTTTTTATTTTTATTTTTATAATGGCTAAATTTTGAAGATTGTTTGTTGTTAAATTAGTAATTCTAAATTTATTAGGTTATTAGCAATTTTTAATTTATTCACTTTAGTTCTAGAAGTGATAGAAAAGAATGAATTAAAAATTATGAATATATTAATAGTTCTGAATGTGTTGGTAACTTGGTTTATAATTGTGCATACGGATTTTGAAATGTGAATACTTCTATAACAAGAAATAAAGAAATGGAACCACGGAACCGAACCGAGCCAAACAAATTTTTCACTATTTTGGTTTGGCTTGGTTCTTTTGGTCAAATGGTTTGGTTTGGTTCCAAATTTTATGAATCCGTTAGAATATGTTTGGTTTTAAAAAATTCTTAAATCGGTCCAAGCCGAACCGTGTGCACCCCTAATGGTGAGCATAATCAGTGGTGGGTCTCACAATCCATTGTAAACGGGACGGACACGTGTACACTCATCTCCAAATGGGGCTGGTACGGATTGTGAATTTGTTCATTAGTCGGGTACATATTTGAACAAACCCGTATCATATTTACTCCGTTGTCATCCCAATTCATATAGAAGGGGGCAAAGGGTCAAAAAAAAAAAACACATAAGAGTGACCCACCAATGGTGAGCCTAGTCAATGGTGGGCCTCACTCCTATGCGAGTCGCCCGACTTTCAAGTGGGACCTCACTTCTATGTGAATCACCCCGACTTTGAGTGTCAAAGGGTGAGACACTGAATATTAGTGTCAATTGTGGGCCTACTCCCATGTGAGATGCTGCATATCGGTTCACATGGTATTGATCTTTCAATATTGGTGGTAGTCGTTTACCTTGAGTTTATGGGTGTTACTAGAGTAGTAGGTATATCATGGAACCAAGTTAACACACGTACAGAGTACAGAGGTCTTGTGTTCAATTTGTGTAGGTGCAAATCCTAATTTTTTGAGTGACTGTTGGGTATTCGAAAGGAATTGTTCAATTTTGTTTTGGTGAAAACAGCTTAAAATGATTTTATTTCAATTGAGAAATGAGCAGGGCAATGAAAATAGACATGTGGTTTGTAGCAACTGCCTTAAGGTTCATGGACATGTTTTCAATTACTACCTTTCCTTTCTTTTTTTGAAATATTTCAAGATTAGTGTCTAACTTCCCTCCTTGAGACATTCTAAATTTCAACATTCTCAAGTTGTTCTTAGATTTTGAAAACCTATGTTAATCAACAAATAAAATGCTTAGAAAAAAAAACACAAGTGTATCATACCTAATCTCTATCCAGATAGGCGCAGGCAAAGGGCCAAAAAAAAAAAAACATAATAGTGGGACCCACCACAATGGTGAGCCTAGTCCGTGGTGGGTCTCACTCCTATGTGAGTAGTCCAACTTTCAAGTGTAGTGGTGGACCTCACTTCTTTGTGAATTAGCCGAGTTAATACGAGTACAGATTACAGAGGTTTTATATTCAATTTGCGCAGGTGCAGATCCTCATTTTTTGAGTAACTATTGGGTATTCGAAAGGAATTGTTCAATTTTGTTTTGGTGAAAACAGCCTAAAATGATTTTATTTCGATTGAGAAATGAGCAGGGCAATGAAAATAGACATGTCATGGTTTGTAGCAACTGCCTTCAGGCTCACGGACATGTTTTCAAGTACTACCTTTCCTTTCTTTTTTTGAAATATTTCAAGATAAGTATCTAACTTTCCACCTTGAGACATTCTAAATTTCAACATTCCCCAGTTGTTCTTAGATTTTGAAAATCTATGTAAATCAACAAAGAAAATGGTTAGAAAAAAATACAATTGTAAGAATTTTTTTCTTTAATTTTTTCATTACAATTGTAAGAACTCACACGCTCCACACTTGTCAAGAAAAAAAAGTTTCCAATCTTTCCTTTAGCACAAAGGATAAAAAGTGGACAAAAGAGATGATATAAGGGTTGAAAGATGCATCCATCTCCTGGGAAGGAAATGCATCTTTCAACCTTTTTGTTTTTCGTTGCTCGAATGGAATGAAAAGAAAAGAGACAGACATCCTCTATTGTTTGATAAAAAGAAGAAAAAGTATTTTACCGTTACAATCCCAATGATATGAACTACTCCCTAGTGCATAACTTAAAATCCAAATGTATTTTTAATGAAAGTAGTTAAGGCATTTAACATTTGACACCATAGTTAACCTTTCCTTTCATCCACCTCTTGAAAGGAGGTCTAGATGGATACCTAATCCACTCCTTTCCTTTTCACTTGCTCTCCCTTGTACCAAACCGAGGATTAGACTTTGTAGGGCTTGACTGCAAGTGAACCAAGTAACATTTTGTGACAGAGTAAAATAGGTCTAGTGGATGAGTTGGGATTTGAAGTTAGTGGGTAATTAAGTGTGTGAGTATTGTCCCACATCGGAAGAAAGAGACTGATATAAGAAGCGGTTGTTAGTATAAGTAGGAGACGATTGGATTGAGCTAGAGCATGATCCTTCAGGCAGAGCACGGGATGTGATGAGTGGTCAATGCTCGCTATGATGCGAGTGGGGTGTCCAGCCCACGCCTGGTTACGACAATATGGGCACCCTCACTTATACCGATCTGATCCCTATCCTGAAGAAAAAAACATTTTTAAAACAGTTTCAATTTTCATTTTATAAATTTTCACAAAATAACATCTGCTAAAAATTGTTCTTATAAATTTTCCCAAAATAATATCTGCTGAAAATTTTACTGTTGTTGAGTCGGAAGATTCACAATCCAACTTCTCTGCTGTAACGACGAGTCGGTTGGTGAGTTGGATGATTCACGATCGGATTTGGACATTTAAATCATTAGACTTCTCTGCTGGATTTGGGCCTAACATTTAGATTATGGGACATTTAAATCATTAATTGAACTAATTATATATGAAGAGAGGGGCCTCCAAAGGCTATACATACTAAGCTTGAAATCAGAAGGCAAACATCAAACTAATTAGAGAAACCAAAGCAACTCTAGCACTGAATTTCTTCTTCACAGAAACCCCTCTATCAAAAGGAGTTTTGTTCCTCAAGCCTTGTTGGTTATTAGTCCCAAAAGGCTGCTTGTTAGAGACAAGTGGTTGGTTAAAGCCCGGGAAATGCCGGTTGCAAGAAGAAAATGGCTTATTAGAACTCGAGAATGGCTGGTTTTGGCTCTCACTCTGTTGTGTATAACCCACCTCTTGGTTGCCCAAAGATTGTTTTTCAATTGCAGGAGCAATTCCAGGAGTCCCCAAATAGCCACAATTTTGATTCACTGAAGGAGTATTGCTCGTCTTCCATACCAGCTTGCCATCTTTGTCCCTTATTTCCATGTCACCACCATCAAGCAAGTCCAACGTCTGCAAATGCTCGTCATCAGCACCTGTATCCCAAGCCGAATGACTCCCTTCGAATAACTCAAGGCCTGCATCCGAGAAGACTAGTGTGCAAGTGTCAGCATTGCTCACTGAGGTGCATTCGGATTCCCAAACACTTTGGCCTGATTGTTGAACTTGAATGTAACAGAAGTCGTTTCCAAAACCGCCTCCGCCAATTGAGTTCTCTGTTCTGACAAGAAAAGCAGCGTACTTTGCTGATGGTGAAGTGAGGAATTGCTGGGAAGAGCCATATGTTGGCATGGTTTCATGACTTGGCGGGAGGCTTGCTAGGACTTGCTGCTTCGACGTTCTTTCTATGGTTCCGGCTAGAGATGACGCACATCCAGGAAGGAGAAAGAAAGAGAAGGAGGTGAGAACAGAAAGGATGACAAAAGCTCTGTGGGCATTGAAGATCTCCATAATGGTTTCAATGCACAGTAGGTGTCAGTTCACATATATATATATATATATATATCAAGTGTGCATGATATAGTTAAGGGAGTTGGCGCAACTGTTTTTCAATTGAAGTAGGAGTTGAAAAAGTTGTGTATCAAGTCTGAAAAATTGAAGAAAGCATAACTTGGCATAAGATTATTTGCTGTTTTTATAATACATCGACAACCTACTTGATCCATTCTGAAATCAATACTAGTTCCAAACAAGATTTCAAGTACTTTTGAAGAGAAAGGAATAGGGTTTGCCCACCAAATAGTTTTAGACATTATCACAACTGTCACGACTAGACCGTATAGAGTCTGTTCGGAGCGTCTACACAGTTAGAAGGACTAGACCGTATATAGTCTGTTCGGAGCGTCTACACAGTTAGAAGGCATCCACACGAGTGCCAACAACCCCTCCCCACTGGTGATGTGGAACATTACACTAGGGATTATATGCAAACATTATTAGCACGGGAGCTCGTGTTTCTCGATTTTAAGATTGCTCCATCAGATCAGTAATTTCCGACTTGCAGAACATCACAGGCATTCATATCTTTCAAAAACAGGCCATTCCAATGTGAGACTAGTAAAATTACCTTCTCTTTTCCTTTGGCTCCGAAAGAGGAGTACAACAAAATTTCAATATAATTATTATCCATATGATGCAACATATATCATCATACATAAGTTTATATACAAGATAATGGTAATAAGGAGACAGATATATAAAATTAATTAAATAACTTAAACAAAAACACATTGGATGGGACTGATCAAGAAGGATCACAAAATGCTGCATCCAACCCATCCAGAACATCCAAAACACTAGACTTCGGCCGCTCCAACTGCCGTCGCGGAGAGCACCCAGTGCTCCTGCTCATGGCCCAAACTTTGGTCCCTATCTGCTTGGCCTTGGAAAATTCCTGACTTTTGCTTATTCCAGGAACCAACCTTCTCCTACTCATCACCTCTTCCAACAAATTTCTATCTTCTGGAGAAATTTGGACCCTCTGGCCTTGGAAGGAATCGCTGAAGGATGGGAGTCGCTGCACCCCAGATTGCAGAAACAGTCCCTTGTGGGTTGGGGATCTCAAAGGGATTCTGAATCCATTATCTCTCTGCCTTATGAGACTCATCAGACGGTGAAGCCATGTCACCAGCTCAAGTATGTATAGGTCTGTCTTCTGCTTCTGTGCATGATAGAGCGTCTGGAGACGAATCAAGTTATTTTGTGTGGTAGTCTTCTTGCTAAACTCAGTACTGCCAGCAGACAAACAAACACATTCAAACTTTTGAAATGTTCACAAAAATAAAAATAAAAAAACTCAGAACCAACAAAAAGGCCATACTGACCCAGTGTTTGCCCACTCTCCAACCCATCCAAAACCTTGATGTGCTCTGTTTCCAATTGCCACAAAAAGTAAAAAATAAATAGGAGCAAAACGATGTAAATGCAAGAGCAGAGGTTTACAAGAGAAAATTACAGTCAGTTACAAGCTTTAGCTGTTAAAAACTGCTTAGTTACAAAGAATTACAGCAAGCATGGGGAAAAGAGCATGTAAAAAATTCACCAAACACATTGGCTCAACATACTTGGTAGTGTTTGTAGCTACCGGGATGAGCCATTGGAGAGTCTTCTCCATTTCAGCTTTAACTTGAGGAATTGTGAGCTGCATATTAACACGATGCGAGGTAAGTTCAAATAATATTGCATCTATACACTTCTGGATGAGAAAGGATTTTATTTGGGGGAAAAACAAAAGTACAAGAATTATACTCAAGTTACATAAAGCAAAAGATGATAAAAGCAATTGAAATGGTTGAATAATGTCCATTGAAGCCAGCATTATAGGAACCACACTATTTCAGAGTGAACATACCTCTTCCTTAGCATCAATTGTTTGCAGTTGGGAACGAAATGCTGTCTTAACACTGTTTGGCAATCCATGATATAATGTGTCCCTCACATTAGGAGGAAGTGAGGTAGGCCGAGATGCCTAAAATCATAACGATAAAAAATTAAGAAATGAAACAAATTAAGTTGCACATAATACCAAAAAGCAAAAGTAAGATTTAAACTTACAATGTTGTCTATTTGATTGATTATGTTAGCATAGTGCAATGCAAGACCAGCTACACCTAGTCTTTCGGGTTTGTTAGCAGGCTCTTTTTCAACCAATACCAAACCTGCCAAGAATTGACAGCACAATGAATGGTGAAGAAAAAAAATATATATATATATGAAACACTTTTCACACCCAACAATGACAACAAATAAATAACAATATTTGTGTATATTTTTTATCCGAAGCCCTAAATAGTTTATCATAGGCAGGACTAATGCATCACATAATGGTTCAGTAGAATTTATCCTATTTTGGCAGTACTGTCTGGGTTATAAATGGCCTACGATAACCAATCCTTCCTACAAAGAGAAGGGCAAAAAAAAGGCATGATAGCTGAATACTGCAACAGAAACTTTTAAATTTCAGATTTAGAGTAAACTCCACATCTGGTCCTTATTACAAAGGTAGCACTAGTTTGTCATAGAATAAGGCTCAATGAAAATGAATTCATTCCTAAAATATCATCCACAATATGCAACGGAAGAATTAGTGGAGGTACCTCTTTGAAAAATATTCATTTCAAACATATCAAAAAAAGTAATTATTTCTAGGAAATCAAGTACAACTAATGGATCCGCACGCGCGGGGGCGGGGGTTGGGGGGGAGAAAAAAAGAGCGTACAACTAATGGAATATGTTACAGTAAGACCCCTTAATTCGAAAAATAATTATGCTCGAGCAGAACAACTGTGTGACCAGCATTAAGTTCTCTAAATATCAGTACAGTTCTAATTTACATTTTCTTAAAATGTCTTGTGCTAATGCAATGCAAATAGATGACAAGACAGGCTTAGAGCTCGTAATGATTCCATCAGACACCCAAAAAAGAGGCAGGTAACAGCACAGGAATTTAAGCAAGTTTCAAGTAAACATTCCAGAAAGTATATCACAGCAAAGAGAAAAAGAAGTGATGACAATCATGTGGCAATTAACGGTTAGTATATCTATGCTATGTTGCTCATACCACTGTCTCCAAATGCTTCCAAGATCTCTTGATGTATGAAAGTTACAATATCAACAAGTTTCTCCACAACCTGCAAAAAAAAAAATGTTTAAAAGAAATGTTGATTGCTAACACCAAGTTGATAGACAAACATTCTACTTTGCTCCGGAAGACATTAAGGAATAGCACAAACGACATAACCTCCTATAGAGTCCATGGAAATCCAAAATATTTATGTTCACAACCATTTACACCATAAAAAGCAGTGGCATATCAATTCCAGGGGCAGAAAATTTATTTACCAACTGACAGAGTACTATAACTAATAAAATGATTCAAGAAGAAATTAGAGTAACAACTGGATAATGCATTCCTTCAGGAAGAAAAAGAATATTTCTTTTTCATTTCACCAATTGATAAGAAAAGAAAAAAGTGGTTAATTACAATTATGTACCTCCTCCAAACTTTTAGCCCATAGAGATTTCTTTTTCAAGCTCCTCACAAGTTTTCTTTGATGTTTCAGCTCACTTTGCAATATCATAACACTCTCTCCTACAATTACAAAGAAAGAAAGTTAATTGAAAGATCTTACTGATGATACCAGATATTAGAAAAGTGAAAACAATAAACAGCAAAGATCCACATAAAATGGTCATATATAATGTGCTTCCTTTTGTCGGATAATAGAAGCAAATGGATAACTAAAGTGAACAGTAATTGTAAATGCAAAAACAGAAGTCTTGTAAAGCATGCCAACAGATGGAAGGTATACAGCAAATGACAAACCACTAAGGCACTACAAATGATAAACAACACAAGAAAATATATGTTTCCCCTCTCATTAAGAAACACCCTTCAATATAATCAAACAAAAACAAATCATATTAAGCCACCATCAGTCATTGTACGTGGTAGATACAACAATTTTAATTTTTAGAATATTACACAGCTAAGGATCATACGCCTTTGATTTTTTAAATATATATATATAGATCCATGAGTTTGATCCAAGTTATTGATACTAACAGGATTTCACGAAGAAGAAGAAGAAGAAAATTGTTATAAAAAAATAAAAAATAAAAAAATTGTTATATGCACCAAAATTGTTATTCTGTGCGAGTATCAAAACTTTATCCGCTAAGGATGAGCCACTAGTGAGAATATTATTTTCATAAAACCAATATAACTAAATATGTGAATTTTAAATGATAAGTTCATATTCTTTTTAAGTTACAACCCCTTCTGCCAAAAGAATAGTCATATCAAGCACCTCTTCCATCACAAACTTGTTGAATTTCCACGTCAACTTACTGACACCAACACTCAGCAAATGCAGACACCTAATTCTAGTTCACATCCTGTTATTCCTAAAAGTCAGCAATCAAAAAGAAAGGAGTTAAGCAATCGGACACAAAAACCAAAAAACTACTACTGCTGCTACTACTTTTAGAAAAACAGGAGGGGATTAAAGAAATAGCTATGCTTAAAAGAGATAATGGACTGGCACACAACTACAGAATGTGAAATATCCGAAGTACCAAAAAAAAAAAAAGTGTGCTACAAAAAGTGATTGACAAATTTAATCATAAATTAACACCATAGAAGGGCAAAATATCATCCTAGAAACACAAATGAGTAGCTTCAGATAATTACTTCCTAAAAATACAATATATGGATAAAATGTATCTGCAATTCAAGGATTTGTTTCCTTTACAAAGGAGAGAGAGCGGTTTTTAGTAAGATTTTTTCCCCCTGGTTTTTAGTAAGTTTAGACTCCTTCAGTAAAAAAAAATCCCCATTTGGCTCAAAAACACAACAAGAAGAAAGTGTCCCTTCATTGCAGTTTGGGTGCGTTGGATCTACAATCTCTATCCATATAAAAAAAATTAAGCTTTCGACACATTTGCTAGAATGAGCACTCATAAAAATAATATATTGACTAAAGTGAACAGGGAAACCATCTTATGATGACAAGATAGAGAAGCCTCAAGAAAACCTAGCCTCCTTTCCAAACAAGGATCAAAAGCACACGAATAGAAATACCAGTAAAGAGAAAAACAAATTTTACCATAATGTACTCATTCAAAGATCAAAGCTTTCATGAAAGCTGACAACTGCAGGACTCGTAGGAAATATTTAAAAGCAATCACTTGAAAACAAGTAAATACAAATCATATATTTTAACTTTTGAACTATTGATGGGTATGGTGTTTCCTTAGTTTTTGCCCTGTCTTTAATACATCAGGCAATCATACAACTCTACAAATGAAAACAAGATAATATTGACAAAATCCCACCGCCTAACATTGCTATCTATTTTAAATCTAAGAACACTTCAATGAGGAAAGTATAGTTTGTGGCTACCTCTTCGAGGGAGATGTAAGGACTCCACTTCCTCAAGCTTCCGTCGATAATCTTGTTCGAATCTGTCCAGTGCATTCAACTCGTGATACAATTCCTACACATGCAGAAGGAGTTAGCCTCCTAAGATAGTTTATAATAATTAAAACCAAAGCTTTTTAAGATCCACAAAACAAGATCTGACCTTATTCTAGTATATAAAATGTGTCTTCCATATTTTTAAAAAATATTTAAAATAAATAAAAAAAGAAAGAAAGAAAATGTATATTTCACTTTTTTTATAGATCACAGAAAAATTATATAAAAGACTGAAAGGATCATACACTGGAGAAAATTTTCTAGAATTTATTTAATATCATTTTTTAAATGTTCAAGAATACTTCGAAATGCAAAAGGATGAACCAATACGAGTGTGACTTGCGAGATCCAACTAGAAGTGCACATTTGAACCGCTGAACCATAGAACCAATCCAATCTGTGCTGTTTGATTCAATTCCACAAGGGTTTCAGTTTAGTACTGGTTTCAAACATTAGGGAATAGTTGGGACAGATTCAATTCATGGACCGGACCAAAAAACCATCCGAACCGCCAATCATATGCATATTTACATTCTATTGGTTTTGTATACATTTTACAATGTCCCCACCCAACACCATATTACACGCGCGCGCGCGTTATGAAAGGTAACCCTGAATCCACCAATCAATCAAATGATATTCTCACAGTTGATACCCACTGTCGCTACCAACCACAATGCTCATGATCCTCACTGTCGCCTCCATTCTCCTCTCTCCTTCCCCTGCCCACCACCCCCCCGGGCGGGTATTTTCGAGTGAGTTACATCTCTCTCTCTCATGCATGCTAGTGGGGCAAGCTTCTTCCATCTTCTTCAATATTTCACCAGACTCACCCAGAATATAGCATTGTCAGATTTCGGCTTCCTCTGGTTTCAATATCTGGTGGAAAATTTTTTGTGTTTTGACTCTATTTTGAATATAACTGATTTCAGCTTCCTCAGATTTCATGTATTCTCATCACCCAGAATAAATTAATATACCAGTTTTTTCGGATTTCACTGATTTGATTCTACGTTTTGTTCTCTCGTGGTTTCTCATTGATATAATGAATGTATTATCAAACAAAATCCAAGGGAATTTTTCTTCGTCTTCATACTTTTGTGGAATGCTATATTGTTATTCATGCAGACCAATTCTTACAGAGCTTTAAAGCCCAAACCGCCAAACTGAACTGATCCAAACCATTACTATGCGGTTTGGTTTGGTTCAATTTCAATCTTCACGAAACTATTGGGATCAGATTGGTTCCAATTTTTAATCCAATCTAACTCAAACTGTGTGCTACCCTAGAGACAACACAATATTTATTGAATATGAGAAAGCATTCCACATACGTTACAGAGTAGACTGCAAACCATACATACTAATAACCGTTATCAAATAATGAGGAACCACTAAGAACCACCTCAGAACCTAGTACATGCCCATACACAACAAACACTGTCACCGTTGCATGTTGAAGACAAATGGCAACATGATAATTGATGTTACTGAAAGCATTCATAATGGAAGAATGGCAATTGCAAGGCAATACACATCTATAATAAAATCATGCAGTATGTTGCCCAGCAGACAAGGCGAAGAGTAAAAGTGTAAAATATCAATCTGATGACTTGCAGCATCCGAGTATCCAAGTGCTCAAACAAAGTAAGCACATCCGTGGAAGTAATTCTATAAATCTAAAGCTCCAATACATACAATAAGGAACTTACAGATGTATGCTGAGCCAGAGTACTCAATTCTTGCATTGTCATTTCTGCCTCTTCTCTTAGTTGTTTAAGGGTTGCATGGTCTGAATCCAACCTGACAAATTACATCATTTCAAGAAATGTATAGCCAACTTTAGAATACATCAGCAGCTTGGCTGGTAAAAAACTGACTTATAAAGCATGTGGCTTACTTTTCAAAGAATCGACCAAGGTGGTGCCATTGCGGGTCTTTACATAGATCACCAAACCTAACTACTTCCCGGGAGAAAATATGAAATTCCTCCCTACAAATACAGTAAAATATCATGATATAAAAGACATAAATGCTGCTAATAAATCCCAGAGCATGAAGCAAATAAGATATAGCTCTAAGCAAGGATAAAATATTCTGTGTAACAAGCGGAGAACCTTTTGTCAGCAGCAGCAATACTTAGCAACTCTTTCATGTCTGTAGAAACTAATTGTTGTACTCCTTCTGAAGGTAAAATCTCCTTTTTCAGGAACTGTACGTTTTCTTCAGAGAGAGATTGCAACAAATTTGAGCCTTTGGCGATTGTATTAGCAATTTCAAATGCTAATATGGATATTTTGTTCCCTCTAGAGGCCATGCCAGATACAAATCCACTGTTGGAATTCAAATTTGACATGCTGCTTCCAAGTGTGTCTAGAACTTCAACTGCCCTCTCTAGGCCCACAATTCCAGCTCTTCCCAGCAATGAGGTCTTTTGGGGCACCTATAAAAGAAAAATACATCATGTAAACCACAACGCAACAATAAGTTTCATTTTAACACTATATCCACACAACAGATTTCATAATAAAGACAAATATATTCAGCAGGTTATAAGATAAGTGGACAGAGAACGGAAAGTAATGATGCTGAGTATCAGATGCCAGGAATGGTAAATGATCTTGGTGAACTGCTTTATTTCTGTTTTCAAGGAGTTGAACAATAAAAATAGACGAAAAGCACTAGGGGCCAAAGACTTATCCCAACATATACATTTGCCAAACAATATTCAATCAATCTTTCTGAGGGCAGATCTTGGCACAACGGTAAGGTTGCCCCATTATGGAGGTCACGGTTTGAACCCCTCCCTATGGGGAGGTAAGGTGACGTAGGCCCTGAAATGGGGGGAGCCTCGCGCACTGGACCAGCCCTTATTCAAGCAATCTTTGTCCAAGGCATGGGAACACAGTGACATTTGAAGTACATTTAGTGCAGGCAATTTTAGCTTGAAATCTTTGTTCTTTTGTAGTGTCTTGAGTTGTTGGCAACACAATTCATTGTTGACAAAGAAAATAGAACAGATTTTTCTTCGTTATAGATCACGCTTAATCATTGTCTATACAGCGCGAAGTGCCACATACTAGCTGATTATCGCATTTGCCTGACAACAAAATTACAGGTGAATTTATGCTCAATGCAGATGTTCGTGCTCCTAATAATGTAGCCAAGAGCCACCCATTGCAACTTTGTCACTGAGCAGCTTGTAGGACTCTCCCAAATATGAGTAGAATTCACATCCTTCTTCTATGTGAGAGGAAATCACCCATTTTCAAACTTAAGAGGAAGGAAGTGTCGGCAGTGTACCAATGCATATGCTCAAATTATTCAGCCAAGGAGGAGAAACCGTGCCTCCCCATTCTCAAATTTCTTTTGGATTTCATTGAGGCCTCCAACTGTTGACCAATGGAATGGAGGAAGCTTTTAGCACACATAATCACTTATAAATATCACATGTATTCCTGTGCAAGAGGAACACGAACTGGGATTGAAATCAGAGAGAGCCTCGTGCATCAAGTTTGGCAAAGTATATAAAGCCACTAAACTGTATCCCATTTCCCAGTGAGAGGGAACTCAAACTAAGATTGAAATCAGAGACAGCCCCCTGGAACAAGCTTGATAAAGTGTGTAACTCCATTAAACCGTCTTCCGTTCAAAGCCCTCCACTCGGAGCAAAAATGATCAAAATCCACATATCAGACAGCAGATCTGCATCCTACCGGGATTATCTTCCAAGATGCAACACATTAGACAGACTACCGTGGCTTCACAATATCCTTCTACTTTTTTCTCTTCCTGTTCTATCCCCTCTTTTCTTTTCTTTTCTTTTATTTTTATTTTATGCAGATCAAAATCCCGCTATCTAATTCTAGGAAAACAAATCTCTTGCAATAGCGCATATAAATTTGTTCCTTGTAAAGCAGACAATTTCACCTTCTCTGGTTCGCAACCTTTAGTCGGTACAAAACAGAACTTAAATCCACTCTTTCACATAATCCTCCCTCTCCGTCTGGTTCTTTTCATAACAAAAGAAACCACCATTTTGCTCTCGTGATCTGCAAAGCTAGTAACAACAAGAAACAACAAACATTCATCTGAAATCAAAATTAGGAAGATCAATGTGTTTCTTTTTCTCCTCCCTGATCTCTTGCAATCAAGTTCATATTTGCTTATGCTCATTACTTACAAAAAATCACAATTATAATCACTTCATACAAGTAATATATATAGAAAGAGATAAGAAGGTACCTTGGTAATCCCTGTCCTAACGGGTGTTGATGGCTTCAATTCACGGGAAATGCAGAATCCAAGCTCGCCAGAATCATAAGGACTCCGATGCGCCTCGAAAACGTCCATGTCAGGATACGAATAAGGTTCCTCCTTTTTCTTACCGAAGCTCTTCACCGACTTGAGCTTCCCCGAAAATCCAGAATTCTTCTCTGCATGCTCTACCGACCTATGCTTCACCGTCCCACCAGAACACACCCCTCCCATTGTGCTTCCAACAATTCTACTTCGAACACTGTCCAAATTTACACCTGCCAAAAAATTCAAAAAAAGGAATCCAATTCACACAAATGAACAAGAAAACAGAACTGCGAATCTACTTCTAGCCGAGCTGTTCTGATTTTTATTTCTATAATCCTCCATTTTCCTGGTAACCAAACATAGAACAAAAACAAACCCTAGGTAACAGAAACAAGCACAATTCTCCGATCAGAATCTAATCGTGTCAATTAACAGAGAAAATAGATTTCTGATTTCATAGCTCAGTGAAAAAAAATTAAATTGTGAAATGAGATTTAGAAAAACCTGAGTACATACAGTGAAAGCGATGATGAATGTTAGAATGATTGTAGAAAAAAGGAAAAGAAAAGAAAAATTAATAAGATTTGATTTGGTTTGGTTGAATGGGAGTAATAAGTACCGCGTTATTGAGCATCGCAAATCTCGTGGGTATCGGATTGACTGAATTGAATTGGAACGAGGTGGGTATGTGGCAAGTGCCAACCAAACAGATGACACGGGATGAGGAGAGAGAGGGGGAGCAGAATTGCTTGACTGTTTTGATTTTTTACTCTCTCTCTCTACTTTCTCTCTCTAGATTTTGTGCACAAAAGTCGCCTCGTCTGAATGTGATTTGCTTTGCGGGAGAAGTGAAAGTCCCCTCCGCCCGCCGTCTGAGTCTAGGTGTCCGACGTCACTGTCAGTCATCGAATGACCAGTTTACCATAATTGCCCTTTGTTGTTCAACTTAATTAGGTTGTCCTAAAGAAAAATCTAACGTTGACCGATAGTAGGATATCCTTGTCTTAGGCTTCCTAATTCCTACTCTTCTCTGTTTGTCTTTTTCCTCCCTCGTCTACTGAGTTCTCTCCCTTTTTTCATTTGTGGACTTCTCCCTGCTCCCTAAGCTAAATCAGACACAGTAAGAGCTAGAGGGGAATCGGGATTGAGATCGAAATCCCAATCAAAATAAAAAACGGACCAAGTACAAGAATGGGAGCGTAAAAGTAACATAATTAAATATATCGTATACAAGTATAGAAAGAAAATAATATTTAAAAAAATTGTGTAACATAAATAAAATAAAATAAATCGATATTACTATACGCACTCACACTATAGTTCTAAATTTGGCCATTTGATTTGGAGAGTACTACTTCTTTTTTCTTTTTTTTAAAGTGTTATGGAAACTACTTTGCTTTAAAAAAAAATTAAATATTGCATTTTTAAGCACTTTGATCTGGAAGGCTATAGGATTTCCGATCAATCTTGATCGATCAAGGCATTCAATAAGGGTCGTTTTTTTTTTATTACTAAAATTAAGACATTAAAATCATATTATTATAACTTTTATTTGTTAATAAACACCCTCTTATGTCACAAATCCTTATAGAAATAGAATATATAGATAGACACACAAGTTTAAGGGATTTAAGCAAAATTGAGGGCATACATATATATTTTTCTTTTAAGCATTCATCAATTGCAAATTGGGATTGTTATATTTGTGTGTTGACATCATGATGCTAATTTGAGGAGTTCAATTCCAATATAAAAATAATTAAGGAGTATTGTGCTTAAGATTTAAGAGTGGAGGAAATTTAATTCAAAGTCTTAATTAAATTTCTTCTAATTTCAAATCTAAACAGTTAATTATGTACTCTCAAACATAACATCAGTCAAAATTGAATTAGAATACTAGTTTCAAAATTGGAATTGCTATTGAAATAATGAGTGAAGTTTGTGGATATAGAAACTAGATCTATGCCATTGAGTAGTATGTCTAACTAATAAAAATAATTATAATAATTATTTGAAAGTAGTTTTAAAAAATAGGTGGGACCAATTTTATGAAATAGTGTACTTCCATTGGTCTAACATACCAATGACCTTGTATATTGGACACACGAAATATCTTCTCTCATGCATATCTTATCATAGTAGATCAACTTGTGCACTCTCGTGTTAAGAGCTTAATTTTTAATTTGGCTGTAACATATCTTTTAAGAGTAGCGATACTTACACCGATTTGTTTCAGTGAATTATCTAACTAAATATTTTTTATTGATTATTTATACATAATACAAGTAAGTGGAGGACCCTATTCCCTTATTTGTTACATAAATGAATCAAATAAAATAAGTACGTCTCATAATTTAGTTTATCAAATATCATTTTGCATCTTTTAATAACAGATTTGATTTGATTGGATTAGATCCCACAATGTCCATGCATGCTTTAATCTCCTTTAATTTACTTTTAATTGAATGGTTATTGTGATTAATGGGTTAATTGATATTTTGCTATTAGCTTTAATTTTAAGTTTGAATTTTCAATGAGACAATTAAAATGTGAAAAGTCGTTAAAATTAGTTAAAAGTATGACAAGACCTACACACTCCCTTGGTCCATTTTATGCTAAAATCGATATTCTATTAAAGACTAGACTTTCAATAAGTATTTATATTTAGAATAGGTTACTAAAAAAGTCATTTCATGATACAAGTCATGAACTCTATTTGTTCATTATCAAATTAAAATATTTATTAAAAGATGCATATGAGCACTAACCGTTAAGTTATTGTCAGATACACTTGGTGATAAAATTCATTTACATGAAACCACAAATTTTTTTCCCCCCCAGATGGATAGTGGTAGCATTAACCAAAACAAAGGTACAATTTGGAGATCACCAAACATGGTCAAAATAAGAGAAGTACAAACTGGACTTGATTGTTTAAAATTGGAACTCTAATCAAGCACACATCAAGTGACAAAATCACAAATCACGTTTGATGGAAAAAAAGGACAAAATCGTAACTTTAACATAAAACCACATTTATACACTAGTCAGACTTGTCAGGAAGTTGGACTAAAAGGAGCAAGTAGTGTTAGGTGATTTTGAATTGAAAAGGTCCACACAATAAACTGGTAAGAAGGAGAGACGAATTAACTAATTAAAAAAAAAAGAGAACAAAAAAGTCTACGATTTAATATCCGACGGTCATGCCGTGCAGTTGTTGCAATGTCCACGTGGTAGCTTCCCATTGGCAAGGTACGCCGTACGATGGCCCACCTGTTTTCAGGCGCGAAGAAGACGTCAAGCAATCAATTCCGTTCAGACCTAGGATTATTAAATTGGTGGATATATAAGCCTGCGTGTGCATGAAGAGTGTTGAATCTACGAATGGTTTTGAGTTGACTGAGATTGCAATTGACTCGGTCGTGCACACCAATGAGGGCTTGCCACTCGGAACCTTTTAAATTTTATTAAATAATATATTGTTTCAACTTTCAAGGGTGTAAATTTTGATTAACATTCTTTAATCTTTTAATACTTTAATGTGAAAGGGAGTCTACAATTTTGTTTTGAAAATCATTTTTCATATTTTAATTGCTTTTGCAAGGAATGTGATATTACACTATTCTATTACTCTTTAAATTGTATTTAGAAATATCCACACACTTTACAATTATCCTAAAGTTTAGGATCTTTCATAAAAAAAATTTTAAATTCTCAAAAGTCTTTCATTTAAAAATAAATAAAAAATTTGAACAAAAATTAACATTGCTCATATGACAACTCGAATTCTCTACATTCTATTTCCAAAATCTAGAAAATACTACTAGATCAATTATTAGAACATTTTTTAATTAACATGAGAAGTGCAAAAGGACCATGTCCTCTCAAAAGTTAAAATATAAATTAACATACATTATTATTATTATAATTAAGTTATGAGAATCTGACATGTAAACGTTAACACAAGTCTATAAACGATAATAAAAAGGGTTGAAACAATTACTTTTATAACCTTTATTTTATTTTATTTTAATTTGTTGATATGGCTCATTTTGTGTCATATATGTATGTAAAATATTGTGTATCAAACTCTCATTAACTTAACTTCCAAGCATTTTACCTTTGTACTTTTGAATTTTTTTTTTTCAATAAATTATATGATACAATTAGCTTTAAAAAAATGTGATTAAAAAATACATTTTATTCTTGATATAAATTCTGTAGTGTATGAATTACCTTTGAATGATAATTGCATGATTTTAATTGTCATTTTCTTCTTAAAGAAAAGCAGTAGTAGCTGGAATGCAAGTCTATAGAAAGAAAATGTGATATTTTATTATATGACACGTTTCTGTTAGAATGCAATTTTAAAACGCGTATTGTGTTTATCACGTTCCAAAAAGTGCTTTTATGAAAGTCAAAAATTAACAACAAAGCTTGGACTTTGGCTTACAACTTAAGCCGGAAGCTCCATATATAATAAGACGTGAAACTTTTAAATTTCAATTAAATAATTACCACACACTCAAAAAATTATGTGAGGGAGAACAGAATCCAAACTACCTTAATATCTAAAATAAATAAAAATATTAACGTTCATTGATAATTTCGTTCGACTACAATTATTATTATTGTAATTGTGGATGAGCAAAAGTGATAGTTGTACTTCTAAACCTTATTTTCCTAGAAAAAAGAAATCATATATTTTTGGAAGGAAATTATTTATTTATTATGTAATATATTTTTTTTTACACTCCTATTTGTTTTCACCGTAAATTGGACAGTAAAAAAAATTAAAAAATTAGACGGTAAAAAAAAGAGTATCTTTGAGTGATCAATGCATCCTTTGACTGGACAATCCAATTCATTAAAAATGTCCTCAAGCATGCCTGAGGTCCCATGCCAAGCCCACCACTTTAACTAGTTGTGACATACATTGGACAAGTCATTTTGTATACCATTCCAAACCAAACTTGCAATTTCCACCCGGTCCCCATAATTTATCTTCTGATTTTTACTATAAAGCATAATGTCATGGACATGTTCGATTTTTTATAATATTATGATGACATCGTCTTCTATTTTTATAAATATAGTTTGATGTTGTATCATAACTAAAAGTAAGTCTAAGCACATCCAACTCATTAAAGATTCAACTTTTGAAAAGAGATATCAGTATACCACTAGCTTGATCTGGACCACACTCAATCTGGAGCTAAAATTTGATGCATGATTAACTTTGAATGTCAATATGATCAGCAGAAAAATATAATTAGACGTGTATATATATATATATATATATATATTTTTTTGGTAATCATTATTAGAAATTACTTAATTAATTGACTATAAGATTAGGAAGCATAGAAGATTAGAACCCACACAAAAAATAAATAAATAAAATAAAATGAGAAGCGTCTGTCACGTAAAAGAAAGAACAAAACATGTATGTGAAAATAGCTTGGGGGCACAGTAGAAGCATTGTTGGTTGTGACAGAGTTGTGACTTCCTCCTAAATGAAATCATTGTCTCTAATTTGGTTATCATGTATAACAAGAAAAGAAAATAAATAGGGAAGCAAACAAAAGAGAACTACAGAACCTAAAAGACGTGGACAATGAGAGTGGACTTTGCATCAGTAAAATTTATACCAGTTCGAAGACCGCAACAAATATGAGTTCAAGAGTGTATTAAGTAAAGCTCCACAATTGATTAATTTATTCTATAGTCGTGATACACGACATTCTATTCATGTAAAACCGTTAGATATGTCCAACTTTAATACTCTATATCATTTTCCTTTATTCTATTTAACCAAAATCAAGAAGAGAGTTTAAAATAACAAAAAAGAAAAAGGATATAATAGGTTATACTTTAATTTATTTTTAAATTTATTTAATTAAATGTGACGAATTCTTTTAAGTATATAATACATTATATATATATATATATATATATATATATATTATATTAGATAGATAATAGTTATTATTTTATAATTAATGGACTCTTAAGTAAGAATAGTATATGAACTAAATATCTGGGGTATTTTAGAGTATTCTTCTAGAGAGAAGAACCTAGAAGGAAATGCTTGGTATTTTAAAGTATTCTTCTTGAGAGAAAATCCTAACCATTGAAGGAAGGAGGGGGATGCCTATACAAAGGGAATGAGATTTTTTTTTTTTTGGCTGGCATCCCCTTCGGAACCCACCCCACCCCAGACTACAAACCGAGAATGTTGTCGACGACCCCACACCTTAACAATAATTTCAGTCGAGGATATAAAGGAGGGAGGAAGACTTGAACCTGAGCCAGTGGTAGCCAAGCCAAGGACCTCTCCATCTCATCCAAGCCCCCGGGGGCGGAATGGGTATTTTTTGTAACCAAAGAAATATACAAATCATATGCCTATGAAACTGAGATGACTGGCATCTAAATGAAGTTAGAATGGGCCAAAGATTTTCTTATTGAATACCTTATGTCTACTACAATGACAATAAGGTGATTGTATATTGTACATTGGATCAACGGTGTGAGAGAAACCTTTACTTTTTCTCACTAATTCGCCAACCGAACAAAAGAAAATAAAAGGTGAAAGTTAAAAAAAGATTTCAACTTCTTTTTAAATGCATTTATTCTTGCATAATTTTAAAAATTAACCCTCCAAAAACTCAAAAGAAACTATTAGCTTGTAATATTAACTTTTCAAAGAGATGATTAAAATTTGGCCAAAAAAATGAAGCTTGGTCTAACAAGAGTACCCTAGCCAAAATACCCTAGCAAGAGCAGCATACTAAGTGATTGACTAGCCGGTTACATATATTTGAATATTTTATGAATATATAAAATTTCACTCTATTCCTACCTTTCAACCCTAAAGACAAAGAAGTCTAAAAAAAATTTATAGGACAAAAAATCCCTACTTTACATAAATCTTTTCGGTCTTTCCAATCAAATCCTAAACTAAATAGAATTCCTATATTACCCTTTTCATTTTCCCGCTCTCAATTCCCTTTCTCCCTTGAGCAATTGTCCGGCGCAAGAGGGGATATCACGAGACGTCTCTTCTTCTCGGTCAATTTTGTAGTCCTCTGTTTCTCGAGCATCATACGGGGCAAAATCTCTGGGTCTTCAACAACTTTATAGAGAAACTCCATCATTTGTTGTGGGCGCCTCTCCGTTGCCTCTAACCTCTTGTTCATGCCTTCAAGCTCTTGCTCTAAATATGTTTTTTCCTCACAATATTCTTTAGTAATTTTGCTTTTGCCCACGCTGAAACCACTCATTCGCAAACTCCCATCTATCTGGATTCACCTTTTTAAACCCCTGATACATAATCAATCGTACGCAATTCAAATTACATAATTAAACATTATGATTACATATAAATATTTATATATGTGTGTGTATGAGATTACTTATATATACATGTGTTGAGGTGACGAACGAAGCTGGAGAAATTGTTGTGTTTGAAGTGGATAGGTAGAATTCTGTGAGAGAAATCTAAGGGGTCGATGACGATGAAGCTGTTGTTGGCTAGACCCATGTGATGAGGCCGTCGGTCATGGGATCGCTGACCATCTGATAAGTTTTCATAATGAACAGTGCGATTAGGGGTGTTGGGTTCCATCCCCATTGTGTGGCTCGACAAACTCCGCTTTGTGCTTTTTGTATTTTGTAGATAGATAGATGATAGATGGATGGATTCAGTTGTATGTATTGTTGAGAGTGAGGGGAATATGGAAAAGGTAAAATAGGGATTCTATTTAATTTAGAATTTGATTAGAAATATTTATGTAAATTAGGACTTCTTTGTTCTATAAATTTTTTTAAGACTTGTTTATCTTTATGATTGAAAAGTAAGACTAGAGTAGAATTTTCCCAATAAACTATTCAAAGTGTCCACTGAGATGTAAATAAAGCCTGGTCACAGATGCAGGAGAGGACATTTTTTTTTCCCGGAAAGTCAGGAGAGGAGAGTACATTTCCCGCGAAAGAAAGAGAGTTGAAAATTGAAACAAAACAGGAAAGGGCAATTTCGTCCTTTAGCCAACAGTATTAGTTGACACACTCAGGTACGAGCTCAAAAAATTATATGAGGGAGAGCAACTTTTAAAAAAATATATACGAGTAATAAAATTCAAACTACTTTAACAAGTAAAAAAATAAATAAAAATAAAAATAAAATAAACTTCCACTACATTTATAATTATACTCATCGAGCAAAAGCATCGAGGGGCAAAACTTAAACGAGAGAGAGAGAGAGAGAGAGATTAAATCTAAAATTATTAGTGGGAACACACTTTATACATTGGGATTGTTTATTCCAGACATTTTTACAACTTTATAATATTAATTATTAATCAAAAATTGTCTTTGTAGATGAATGGTAATTTCTCGGGAAATAGGTAAAAATAAAAAATCAGTGAGGTCCGTCCTTGCACACACTTTAAATTAATTGATGATACATTTTTTTCACTCCTATTATTTTTCACCGACCGTCGCATAGGACATTATAACCCACACAAAAAAATAAATAAAAAAAGAAAAGAAAAGAAAAGGAAAACCTCAAATGAGAAGTGTTTGTCACATAAAAGAAAGAAAAAAACATGCATGTGAAAATAGCTTGGGAACACAGTGGAAGCATTGTTGGTTGTGACAGAATACTTGTGACTTCCTCTTGAATGAAATTGTTGTCTCTAATTTAGTTATCATGTATAACACGAAAAGATAAGAAATAGGGAAGCAAACAAAACAGAACCGAAAAGATAAGAAATAGGGAAGCAAACAAAACAGAACCTAAACGATGTGGACAATGAGAGTGGACTTTGCATTAGTAAAATTTGTACCAGTTCTAAGAACTGCAACTAATATGAGTTCAAGAGTGCGTTAAGTAAAGCTGCATAATTGGTTAACTTATTCTATAATCGTGATACACGACATTTCAATCACATAAAATCGTTAGATATGTCCAATTTTCATATTTTATATCATTTTCCGTCATTCTATTTAACCAAAGTCAATAAGAGAGTTTACAAAAAAAAGAAAAGAAAAGAAAAAAAAAAGGGGATATAATACATTATACTTTAATTTTTTTTTTTTTAGATTTATTTAATTAAATGTGACCAATTATTTTAAGTATATAATACATTTTTTATATATTTTATTTTAGATAGATAATAGTTATTATTTTATAATTAATGGACTCTTAAGTAAGAATAGTATTGAACTAAATAACAACATTGAGACTGTGCCAAACATAAGATCTTCGAGAGAATCAACAAAATTAGACAACCTATGACGTAAAGGCAAAGCTCTAAAATGATTGTTTTAAAGAATAAATAATTTATTAAATTATATCCTAAATGTATAAGTACTTGTCATATGCTAAATTACTTTGTATAAATTATAGCATTTGTAATTACATTTTGTTAAGTTGATTGGCATTTTCATTTAAATTTGTGTCCCAATAGTTACCATTTATTAAATTATCTATTTTTTTTTTTTTTTTTTCTTATAAAAAAAATGTAAAAGGCTGGGCTCCTCAATTGCTGAGGTGGCGCGATCTTCGCCGTTCGAAGAGCGGCGTAAATCAACGGTTCTTAGCAACGAAGAGGAGCCCGATCACACAGCTGCGATAGATTTCATACTCCCCTCCCCCCCCCCCCCCCCCCCCCCCGCCCTCTCTGTCTCACACACGTGGAAACCCTAGAGATTGCAATAATGGCATCAAGAGCTCTCGCCAAAACCTGCTCGAAGCTCGCCTCTCGAATGGCGGTTCGTTCCCTCTGCACCTTCGCTCCTTCCTATCCCAATTCTGAGTTACATATTCGTTTTGGGCTACCAATTCCGAGGAAAGAGAAGAGGAAAAGGAAGAGGAAGAGGTGGACAATAAGCCTCTGAAACCGGATGATTACCCGTGCGACCTAGTAAGTATTACTTTTGTACAATCAGATATTAAGGCCTTGTTTTGTAACGCCTGTGATTTTCATTTCCGTGAAAAATGAAAGTAACTGCGATTTGCTGTGCTCATTTATGTCAAAAACAAAAAATATAAAGTTGTACTCATATACAGAATAGGATAATGCTAACATTACATTTTTGAGGTTATGCAAAATATAAAGATGTTTTAGTAAGTACCAAAACAATAAGATTTCTAGTCTACCTATTTCATTTTGCAATAACAATTATAAGAACAAAAAAAAGAAAGATTACAATGATCAAAACAAAAAAAAAATGCTCATAATACCACACCCACAACCACCACAAAAAAAACGAGTCTTTTTCATGCGCCATGTAACTAGTAAATAGATGAGCGGCAACACACACACACACACACACACACACACATACATATGTATGGGTGTAGTATAGAATTGGAATGCATGAATCTATTAGAAATTAAAGGTGACACCAATTAAGAATAGCTGGATAACTGTGGGTGATCTAAAATTTGTTGATCATGTGCAACATAAGAGAATGAATTCATGAAGTAGGGACATGTTTTGAGTTGGAGGTACTGTGAGGACAATAATAAGGCCAAAAAGAATGCAGGTTGAGGTGTTCAGTAAAATTTGCTGGTATATTATTTAGGGGAAATTATAATCATTGCTGAATGGTAGCGGCTATAAGGATTTGTGCATTTGATCCCAAGTTATATCAAAAGAAACATTCATGCTGCAAACACCTTTCTTAGTGCTGCTGACAATTTCTGCCTCCGTAATTTAAACATCAAATTGTGTTTGTTATGAACTAAACTGATACAAAACTGTTGTTATACTTATGTAGGAAGTGGACAATTTAACATGGAAATTCTGATTGGCTGTGCTAGTCATGATGTAAATTCAGGGCCTTTTGCAGGGAACAATTTATATTTGCTTTATTCTAATGTATATTGAATCTACTGTGGCATCTCTATTGTAGCTCAATTATTGCAAGGAAGTTGGATGTGAATCACCTTGGTTCTTTTTTGTCATGTGAATATGATGTCCAGCAACTAGCAAGTGTCAAGACCTTTTGCGTGGTAGAATAATTGGAATTTATAGATTTGATTGTATGCTGGAGTTTAGTCACTTTGCTTTCTTTCCAATTTCTTGGAAATGTGATGAAGAATGTAGGTCAGAATAGATGATATTTTGATGGAGTTTTAGACAACACCACGAAATAGGCAAAAGGTCCATACTTAAGAATCAGTTGACCATTATTTAATCAATAGTTATTCAATTAGATAAGGAATGCTCCCCTCGGATCGATGAAAATTGGACTGTGTTTATTTATTTATATTTTATTTTATGGGGTGGGGGGTGGGGGAGACATTAGACAAGGACATGTTTTGATATTAGAAGTGTGAAAATTATTACACAAATAATGACAAAGTAAGATGTTTTATACTTGAATCTTCAGGGATTTATCATATTGATGAAGGAGAACTTCTATTGTCAAATCATTCATTGTGGGAGGTTTTTATTGGTGATAAACACCAAAAGATGTTAATGTGAACTAGACTTAGTTCATAGCCTGCCATTGTAAAGTGGTAATGATTTTTGTTTTCTTTTTAATGAAGGAAAGAGAAATAATTAAGCTAACTAATATGGGATAGAATAATTAGACTTGATTGAAAAATTAAATATAATGGGAGAAATGGATTTGAATAGTAAAGAATGAAATAAGAGAACATAAAATGATCGATACCATTCATATGGGATAAAAGGAAGGATAATGGTAATGATCCCAAACTTATCCACCCCCTCTTCCCCCGAAAAAAAAAAAAGAAAAAGAAATTGATGGTACCAACTTGATCAATGTGACGATTTGGTTTGAATAAGATTGCCCTTTACTACTTATCAAAAAAAAAAAAAAAAAAGATAGCCCTTTACTATGTTCTTCTTTTATTTTATTTTATTAGTAGAGACCTTTTTACTACGTTCTTCATATAGCATATTTAACATTTTTTTTTTCTTCATATTGTTGTCAAATACTCTTGGTTTACCTTCAAATTTGGTTTGAGTCTGAATTTGGATCTCCTCTAGGAGATCAAATTTAAATGAAAATTACATCTTCATCTGTCAATTTTGGCTGACTGAATTTTTGTATTGTTAGTGGCAATTGATGATGATGAAAAGTTGCGACAGGCGACGATGGCTTAGACGCTGTACTGATGTCGAGGATAGTACTTTTCCTAATGATGCAGATGGTAATGCAATTGATGCTGAGGAATTAGGTAAGCGTGTTTATGTCGAATGTGTCCTCATTTTTCATTACTTTTCATTCAAACGATAATTTTAGTGCAAGTTGTGTGATCCAAAAGCTATACTTATAGCACATGGTATGAAAATTTCCATGTAAAACTCATTTTTAAAACTTTATTTCATCATTTCAAAATTTGACATATTCCTATAGAGTAGGAATGACCAAGACAAGAAATAACTAGCATGCACTTTCATCCTAATAATCTTGGTTCCCCCAAAAGCTATTTACAAGATTTTTTTTTTTTTGATAAGTCAAAAGCTATTTACAAGATGGGCACAACTTTACAAGGGAAATGCAACATCTCTTAACTAGCAAGCATAACTTGTACAAACTCTCATAAGGGAGTGCCAAGCACTCTCTACCTGAACATTGTGCAAGTAACACCCCAAAGTCCATTCTACCCATTACATTTCATCACTAGATAATAGCAACATGGTAACATATGAACAAAAGAAAATGCTCTACAAGCAGCTATTATATGACATTGTTACATACATGCATGCTTCACAAAATATTCAGCAATGAGTAACTACAGTCCATGTATATTACCATCTAGTGTTGTCTAAGGCGCTCCTAGGCTCCAAGCTCATACAAGCACAACACAGGTGCCTGTTGTGTGCCCATTTGCTCCTTTGACAACATTTGCGCCTTTATTATGGAATATGAACATGCTTTAATGGTAAATTAATTTTTCAATTGCGTGCCTCACTTCACTCAAGCACGCGCCTCGCTTTACTCAAGCACGCGCCTCGCTTTACTCAAGCACATGCCTTGCCTTGAACCTAGGCTCCAAATGTCCTGTAGCGCCTTAGGGTACCATCTGTACCACTTGCCCTGATGTCAGCACCTGAAAATTTAAGGAGTGAGACAATGCCCAATAGAGAATCTCTAACAATAGGCTCTAAGAGGTTTTATGCACAAATGATGAACTTTCGAAAAGTATATCTTTTGTATAGCAAAACATAGATTTGCAAGTGCCTCTCTCACGATAAGGGCACAAAAGTATTCTTATCCTTGACAATCTGAAGAGGAGACGACAGATTGTGGTTAACTGGTGTTGTATGTGTAAGAAGACGGAGGAATCCATGAATCACCTTCTAATGCACTGCCTAGTGGCTAGAGACGTTTCGTCTATGTTATTTTATTGCGTTTGGCATGTCTTGGGCGTTCCCAAGATCCACAATGGAGTTGATTGAGGCTTGGAGAGGGTGTCTAGTGGAGAGCCGAGCCAGGAATGTTTGTAGGGCCACTCCCCTTTGTTTATGGTGGGGCTCGTGGTGTGAGAGAAATAGGAGATCCTTCGAGGGTGAGGAGACACTTGTTTGGTCTCTCAAATATAATATATTGTATTCTTTATTTTTTTGGGTTCATGCGCGCAATTGTAAATCTTTGGGTATGGATTTTGTGGATAGCTTAAAGCTATAGTAGTCACCTTTGGTGTCTTGTGTATTCTTTTGGGAGCGCTCCCCTCTTGAGCGCCTTTTATGAAATCTTATATATATATATATATATATATCAAAAGCACGTTTAGTATGGATGCCTAAAAGTAGAATTTATTGGAATAACTAGTCTCAAAGTTTTTCCATATTTTAGAACAACCATTGGTACTCATAAATTAAAATAAATGGAACAACAAGAAGGAAAAGATTTAGAAAGTCTCTGAAAGATGCTAGAGTTAGAGAAACTCTACCAAATTGAAGATGCAAATTGGTGATGATGATGTGGTGAGATGATGGAGATCCCAGGCTTTCTCCTTTTCTTTCCTTCCCCTCTTCTCTTCGTGTTTCTCTTGTTCCCACTTTCTTAAGACATCACGGCCGGGGTTTTACTTTCTCTTCCTCTCTTTTTTTCACAGCCCCCTAATGCGCGTGCAAGTGAGGGACCAAGTCAAGGTGATGAGGTGTTTGGTTGAGACATGTCAAGATAAATTCATGTGTAGGGTATGTGTGTCCTAAGGTCTCTTTATGGCTGCCACATGGAGACCCACTATCTAACTCTTATAGAATTCATATAGCCCTCCCCTACTAACAAAAGAAAATGCATAAAGGACCTTACATAATCACCCACATTAAATACTCCCTCCGTCCCAAATTAAACGTCCCTCTTCGGGAATCTAACTTTTTAAGAGGATGAGTTTTAGTATTTTTTATTATAGTGGTAGTGCATGAATTACCAAAATATCCATAATGGGTCCACATGGATGTGATTGTTTACTTTTATAAGTTCAATGCAAGAAGGTTAAATTAGTAATGTTACAAAAAATAGTACTTTGACTTTTCAAAGGAGACATTTATTTTGGGACAGCCAAAAATGGAAATGTGGACATTTTTTGGGGGACAAGGGGGAGAATAAGGGTTAATTTTAATGACATCCCCTAAGGTTTGGACAAATTTTATATGGAGACACCTTTTGAAAATAGCTATCACTAACATTACAAACGTTTGTTCTGTTTTTCATTGACACCCCAAACGTCACTTTTCAGTGGTGTCAGAGCACTTTTGACATGTAAAATGACATTGCTACCCTTTTGACTTTGTGTTGACTTACAAAAAGGTTGTTTTATGTGTAAAATGACATTGCTACCCCCATTGAACCCCTCTCTCTTCTCTCACTAAGTATATAACTATATATATGTATACACACACACACACACGTGTGTGTATATACACACATAATTACACTAAAAAAAAAAGTAAAAAATACAAAACCCCATAGAACCCATTTCAAGTGACCAAAATGCCCAAACATTGAACACCTCTCTCTCTCTCACTAAGTGTGTGTGTATATATACGGAGTATATGTTTATCTATATCTATGTATCTGTATATATTAACACATAATTACACTAAAACTATTGATCATCAAAGATTTTTGTATATTAAGCCAAATAACGTTAAATTTCTTTTTGTGCAATACACCATTGGTCAGTAAAACTAGGATTATAGTTTGCCCGAACTTCACAAAACTGGTCTAACCTATTTAGCGTCGTAAGCCACAAGATTAATCTGTTTTTAACTCCGATAAATATTTCTGTTATGCACCAATCAGCTAATATTTAAACCATGTACATGATAGCTCACAAAAACAAGCTTTATACTTATTCAATTTTGAAGATGCTAAATCAATTTAACCACAATAGATTGTTTATTAAAGTATATATGCTTAGCCAAATTAAAGTAATCAAAGCAAAAGGTTACTTGCACCTAGAAAAGCAAACTTGGGCAAACTAAATCTTGGAATTTTTTTACTTAGACCTTTTGTCAAACAGTTTGTGTGTGTGCATAACCAATGCCATTGTCTATTTTACTACAACAGGGAGAGATGTAGAAGCGCATCAATACCACCACTTCATCATGTTACGACAATTAGAGATTTTCATACAATTGAAACCAAGCACCATGAACTCAATTCCAAAAAATTAGTAAAATATTGAAAAACTCATAAAAGCTCTAACAAAATTTTCATGATACCTATCTAAAATTGCCTCCAAACACTCAACAACTCGCTGGATCCAAAAAAATTAAATTCTACAACCCATATACATCTTCATTCTATTTATAACTCCAAAAACAAAGTTTCAAAAATGCAACAAGTCAGTAACTTTATAGACCCAGTTAATTTTTTGGCAATTCCATAGATATCCATAAAAATTCAGGTGCAAACATCAGATGAAAATGAAGGTGGAATAAAAATAGGGGTACCTCGTAAGCTGATTTGCTGAGGATGACGAATGTGAAACGGTGATCGGGGTTGATGGCAAGCTTGGCATTGGCAGAATAGAGTAAAGGCGATATAAGAGACAACCCTCCATATCCAATAATCTCTTATAAAAGGGCGAACCTCAAATCCCCAATGAAACACTGCCCCCTATACCCACACCCTCCTCATCCCCCCCACCCCCCACTGATTGCATACAACATTTTCGGAGCTCAACAAAGTCCTCCACCTTCCAATCTTGAAATGGTCTCATGAATTGTATATACCAAATCGACCTCTTGTTATGAAGATGATAGCATTTAGCTATTGTAGGAAGTCTATGTGCTGCAATCCAAAAGAGTTGGAAAAACCACCACTAATGGTCTCTCTCCACACCATCATCCACCCAAACCCATATACTCTTCCCAATATTGATTCGAAACCTAACATATGTTGAGAATTCATCCCGACCCCCTTCCTGATGACTTCTACACCCCCACTCCTGCCAAAGCATGTAACTCCAAGGAGTACTGACCACCCTTCCCCGAACTTACAACTAATGACCCCCCTCCAAAATTGTGCCTCTTGACCCCAAATCTCCAAAGCAACTTCCCCAACAAGGTTTTGTTGGACAAGTCCAACCTTCTAATCTCCGAACCACCTACTTTAATGGGCCTGCAAGTATACTTTTAATTGAAAAGATGATAATTGAACTTGTCCCCCTTACTGCCCAGAAGAAGTTCTTCTGTAATGTCTCCATTCTCTGAGCTATGGTGGCTAGAGTGTGAAAGAGGGAGAGAAAGTACGTTCGAAGACTCAAAAGGCAAGAGAGTTAGTCACCCCCCTTCGATAGATATTACTTCTTCTACCTTGCAAGTTTCCTCTTGAACCGATGTATCCAGTGGATCCCACGAAGCCACCTTCCTCGATGGAGCTCCCAATTGTAAGCCCAAATACATCACCAGGGATGCCCCAATTGCACACCCCAGAATCTCAGTCAAAAAGACTTCATCTTTCCTACCTCTCCCATAGGCATAGTGACACTGTTCTCCAGATTGACCTTTAGGCCATAGCCGAAAAGCACACCAAAATACTTCCAGAGTTCCTCAAATGGCTTCACAGAAGACGACTATGTCGTCCGCAAACAAAAGATAAGATATCTCCAACTGCGAAGATGCACCCCTATATACTCTAAAGCCTCTAATATTGTCCAGATCTAAGTCAATCCAGATCCACCGCTCTTCTCATCAGCTTGCTGAATGCCTCCATGACATA